TGAGTTTTAATATAAACTGTTATATTAAATGAAAAGCTGAGCCTTAAAGATAATAATGTTTTGAGTAATATTCAGTTTCTTGCACAGGGGTGCGTTTCCGAAAACTATCTTTTGGCAACTAAGGTTGCAAGTTTTATTTGCTGTTGATTTGGTGTTTCCCTAATCCATCGTTCCAATGAACATTCGCAAACTGCGTGGCAATCTTATATGCTTGCAACTACATCTCTGGAGCTGTTGGTAGAAACATTGTTTCTGTTTGTGTCCTATTCCCAGTGCCCTATTCGTTAAGAACATTCTAACATTTAAACTTGGAATGAAAATAAGCTGAAAAAAGGTCACTTGGCAAAAATAGCAAGTGAGTTTATTGGATGTATTTTTGGTGGAGTCTGTTCAAGACTTTTTGAAATGAGTCTCACACAAATGCCGTTTGCAGTATACACACCATGGCTGTGGTGATTATAGCTGTTAAGATTTAAGTTTTGATTACCAGCGTCTATATTACAAACATTGTTTTAAAAACCCATGACAGTGTCCACACAGAGAATTTTAGCATATGTTTTAATCCCAGTTTCTTTGCAAAAAATGTTCTGTGACGGGTGTGCATAATAACATGTATACGCATGTCCAATCAAATCAGTGGGTGGGGAAAACCACACTCGTATGTTACGTTGCGCTGGGCCTCAAAATCACTGGCATTTGGATCATATTTTAACATAAAAAACATAAAAGTAAATATTAAAAAAAGAGGCTTGTGTTTCTATCACTCCAATATGACAGTGGACACACTATACATACAGTTCTGTCCAAACAGCTTCCAAAGGTTGATTTTTATCATAGGTGCTCTTTAAAATCTTTTTTGAATGTTTTACTGGAGGAATAAAAAAAAATCTATATCTCAAGTACTCTAAGAAAAAAACAATTTGTTGTCCTAACTGAATATTTTGTTTTTCTGCAGAGACTGCAGTGGACAGGCAGATCGTCTTTCCATTGTCTCATGTCCTGCACTCAAATGGAGAGAAAAATGGACAGCCACACCTGCACGATTTCTCAGAGGACATCCAATTCATGGACATCGAGGAATCTCCCGGTAAGAGTCTCAATGGTTGTTCTCAACTAACTTCCCAGAGAGGCTCAGGAATTCTGACAGTTTTACATTTAAAATTCTGGATAAAGTTTGTGATTGTCATGTTATGCCCTTGTCAGCACTTTCTAAGAATATATCTCTATCTCTCTCAGGTTACCGGCTGTGTCCATTCCTGCAGGAGCACAAAGATGATATCTTGTGTGGGCCGGTGTGGTTGTCCAGCGGACTGGATCTGTCTGGACACGCAGGGATGCTGAGTCTTACAAGTCCCAAACTCCTCAAAGGTTCGCTTGAGTAGTCATCACTAGCCATTTATAGCATCTGCTCCCACCCATCCTGCAGTGTGCCAGCAGATTGCCAGTAGCAAAACACAGATTTGAACAAATGCAGAGCTGCGTACAATATTGGACTGAAGAAAAAAAGTGCCCTATTTATTAGACACACACAAAAACTCTAAAATTTCTAAAAATAAAACATTCCTTCAAATTGATCATTTACTCATCATGTTTGTGTCTTTTCAAATCTATAAGCAAATGCATTCATCTGAGCTTATATTATATTTATAAGCTTATATTTATGTCTGGCAATTATCAGGATTCCCACGGTTCTTAAAAGTACTTTAATTTCAGATATAAACTCAAGGCCTGGAAAGTACTTCAAAACCAACATAGGTCTTTGATGGTGCTTGAATTATAATTGAAATCAAATTCAGTGTTTCCTCTAGGATATTTTACAGCTGTGGCGGCAGGCCTTTTTTACACAGATCTACCAACTACCTGTGGCGTTATTTCAATGACAAATGTCGTGTGCCAAATACACTTTCCATAAAGAGTGTTGCGCTTTTTTTCAATAATGTATAAAAAGTTAATTTGTGTTCTGAAGATAAATTAAATGGTTATGATTTTGCAACAACTTGAGGAAGAGTAAATGATGAACATTTGAGCTTGGAAGAAAACTACACATTTAAAAATTGTTATATAATTTAAATTTTATTCTTTGTTTAGGCAAACAATAAAAATACTTTTAGATTCTGCTGTAATCTTCCTTTGTAATTACAGCAAAGTAAGCTTTTTTCAGCTAACATTTTTTCCCTTCTTGTTTTTCTTCTATCTAGGCATGGCAGGGGGAAAATATCGCTCATTCCTGGTGCACATTAAAGCAGTGAGTGATAAGGGTCTGGACGAGGGCTTAAGACCGGTGGTGCGGATGCCCTCAGCCAAACCACAAAGTAGTAAAGCTCACTCACTCTCATCCTTGCTACAAAGGGCTCAGGCAACTAAGGTAGAGCACACACACTGACTTTTCAAACTGGACTTTTGTGCCATTTTAAGTTTGTTCATTCGAGTGCTTTCAAAACACTCCTGCAACAGTGATGCCATGTATTTATGTAATGGTTGCTGGGAGAGACCTCTAGTGGCTGTATTGTTGCATTACTTCCTAAAAGTCTTTACTTTATGTGGGAATAAAAGACTAGGCAATAAAGAGCACCACAAACATTTTTTTTTTTTTTTTTAAATCTCTTTTTATTTTTATCAGGAAAAGGCATCCACATCTAAGGCAGATCCTCAGTCTGTGCCTAAAAAGCCTGATAACTTGCGTGGCTGTGACTTGCTCCAAGAAGTGTCCGTCACAATCAGGAGATTTAAGAAGACATCTGTACCCAAAGAACGGTAAGGGATGCAAGTAAATACTATTTGCTAACATTTTGAAATGTTCTTTATGCTCACATTAATATTGCTCTACTATTTAAATCTGTATACTATTTAAATTTCCAGTGATGGCAAAGCAGATTTTTTTTTTTTTTAAACCATTACTCCAGTCTTGTCACATGTTCCTTTAGAAATCATTTTAACATAGTTTTAGTGCTCAGATAGAAAATATTTCTTATCATCAATGTTGAAAATGCTTCTGCTGCTTAATGTGTTTTGAGAAAACAATATATTTTGCTTAGAGTCTTCATTGATTAATCAAAAGTTCGAAAAATCATAAACATCATAGAAATAACGAGTAGCATTATAAATGTCTTTAGTGGCAAATACTGTGCTTTTAAAGTTTGTGTAAAGTCAAAATATGTTTGTTCTGCAAAATTTCCATTACTCTAAACCATATTCTATAAGGCTGTCTTCTTTTAATTACTGGAATAAACTCATTCAAGGAAAATGTTTAGAATTTTTATTATATATTACTGTTAAAAATCGTATCTAATTTATTTGTTTGTGTTTTTAATTATAAATTTATCTATTAAGCCATAAAATTGTTGTTAATATGGCAATAAATAAAACAAATGATATATGTTGTTAAATCAAAACTTAAATAATTAATTTTTTCTAGCACACATTGTTGTTCGTCAAGTAAACAATTAATCTGTGCAAGTTTGTCCTCTGAAAAAAAAAAGTTTTTTTTTGGTATTCTTCAATCAAAGTCATTTACTTTTGCTGTGCTGACATCAGTTCAGTTCATACTTTTTTCTATAGCGCTTTTTACAATGTAGATTGTGTCAAAGCAGCTGAACATAGAAGTTCTAATAAACTAAAACAGTGTCAGTCCAGATTTCAGAGTTGAAGTTCAGTTCAGTTTCGTTTAAATTTCACTGCTGAAAGTCCGAACTCTGAAGAGCAGGTGAGTAGGTCACCGACGGGTGTTTAGGCTGGCCCATGAACATCAACGAGGTGACGCGTCTGTCACTGGGGACTTTTAGGAATCAGTCTCATGCTCTCATCTCCTCCATGACCAATGCAGCATCAGCTCAGGACACGGAAGTCCTCTATGGTTGGCATTATCTCGTCACAGGTCTTGGATCACATCGATCTCTAAAGGCCTCCCAGTGTATTCAAATTGCAATTCAAAAATAAAGAGCTATAAGTGAAAATAGTAGTCATATAAACAAACAAGAAACAAACATGTAAAGTGTGGTATGTAAACAAACATATGAGTGTTTCTAACAAAATGTCTGGTACATCAGTCTCTATTAGTTTGCTACGAGCGAATGATGTGCACAAAGAACGCCCTGTCCCCTTACCGATATTTACTTACAGTAGAAATACATCAACATATCGAAACAAAAGTCTCAGCAACTTCATCTTCATGCAGACTTTTGTTTAAATCTTTCATTGTCTAAATGTGCTTTCTGTCTCTGCTTGTATTTCCCAGAGTGCAACGCTGTGCAATGCTTCAGTTTCCTGAGCTCCACGAAAAGCTGCTAAGAGGTTTGTGTAAGCGTGGAGAAGACAGCCAGAGCTCTGAACACTGTCAGAGTCTCATATTGGACATCCTCTGCTGGCTGGCTGGAGTTTACTCCAATGGACCGTGCAGGTGGGTCTCTGACTCTGTGTTTTAAGTCTCAGGCTTTTATTTCATTGCTCTTTTTCTAAGAGATGTTATGATCTGTTGTCTTTTAGTTTGAGAGAGGGGAAAGAGGGGCTTTTGACCAAAACCAGAAGACGTCTGACGGACATTATCAGGGCATGCTTCTTTGAGGCCGGGCGCAGTATAGCTCACAAATGCTCTCGCTTTCTTGCACTTTGTATTAGGTGAGTTTGAATTCTGTGTCTTTTTTTCTGTTCTTCAATTTTGGTGGAGAACTATTATACTAGTAAATATGTTATGGTCATTACGTTTAATGGATGAATGTCTTCTGTTTCAGTACTGGTAAAGGAGACCCTGGTCAGCAGGGTTTTGGCCAGGCACTGTTTAAAGCGCTTTTGGATAATATGCCTTATTTGCCTGCTGCTGCCACAGGAGGTGATTTTTAATTTTCCTATTTTAATTTATTTTGTTACTCTTTACTTTTTTTAACACAACTATTCAAATCATGTCTATGTCTTTAAGGAATTTGGAAATTCAGTGATTTAGTAAAATTTCTTATGTTCACCATTCAATAAATAAATAAAAACCACAGTGAGCCATTAAGCAATTTTGTCAGGCTTCTTTAATTTAAAAAAGTAAATTTCAACTACAGACTTCCTTGCTAAAAGAACAACCAAAAACTATTGACCCAAGAGATATTGAACATGCTAAAAGACTGTCTGTCTTTTTTCTCAGGATCTGTGTTCTGGTACTTTGTCCTGTTAAATTATGTGAAAGATGAGGACTTGGCCGGCTGCAGTACTGCTTGCGCTTCTCTGCTCACTGCTGTTTCTCGGCAGCTGCAGGACCGTCTGACTCCATTGGAAGCGCTGTTGCAAACCAGGTCAGCCAATCTGCTTTAATCCGAGACATACACAAACACATTCTTGTAAACCCATAGAAGTGATTGTTTTTAATAATTGTTTTTTTTTGCAATGGTCACCTCTCTTCAGATACGGTCTGTATGGGTCTCCTTTTGACCCAGTACTGTTTGACCTGGAGGTGAGCGGGTCTTCCTGTAAGAATGCCTTCAGCAGTGGCATCGGGGTCCAGTCGGATGAAATCGACCTATCTGATATTCTCTCAGGTTCGGCAGAACATTCTTCCCCCTTCACACACTTTTATTCATCAATAAACAAAAATTAAACGCATATTTTTTGTGTGTCTATTGTCAGGTAATGGAAAGGTGAACAGTAGCGGGGCGGCAGAGGGCAGTTTCACTGCTCTGACTGGCCTGCTGGAAGTTGAACCTCTGCACTTTACTTGCGTCTCCACTAGTGACGGCACTAGAGTGGAGAGGGATGATGCAAGTATGTTCACCGGTACATATCCCATTTTTCTCTTTCTCTTATCTTGTTTATATTACAACCAACCATGTCATCATGGACCGCACGTTTAAGGTATGGTCAAATTAGCTGAGTTGTTTTCTTTGTACTACAAAACCAAACCACAATTCAGCAAATTTGATTCTTTTCTAAGAAGAACCACATCTTTAGTGATAAAATAGTTTCTATACCCCTGTACTATATATTTTGTTTTAGTGAGCACATTTGGAGTGACGCCTACAGTGACAGGGCTGTCTGCTGGGTCTGTTGGCGAAGCCTCCACTGCTCTGAGCTCGGCTGCACAGGTGGCCCTGCAGTCTCTGTCTCACGCCATGGTGTCCGCCGAACAGCAGCTTCAAGTTCTCCAGGAGAAGCAGCAACAGCTTCTAAAACTCCAGCAACAGGTCACATTCTTGCTTAATTGTAATGTTGATTTGTTTTCCATCTAGTTGTGAGTTTATTTAATTGGTTGTATTATGAAACAGAAGGCCAAGCTGGAGGCCAAACTTCACCAGACCACCTCAGCAGCAGCCACCGCAGCATCAGGCGTTGTCAACTCTGTGCCATCCAACCCGTCCTCAGCCCCAGGCTTTTTTATCCACCCGTCAGACGTCATCCCACCCACCCCTAAAACCACCCCGCTGTTCATGACACCACCTCTCACCCCGCCCAATGAAGCAGTGTCGGCGGCCATTAGTGTGGAACTGGCTCAGCTTTTCCCAGGATCTGTCATTGATCCTCCACCTGTAAACCTTTCAGCACAGAATAAAAACAACCAGAAAGCGAAACCCGTAAGTCCTGAAAAACCACCAGAAAAAATTCCATTATTTATTTGAGTCTTTTTCTAAAAAAATGATTTTTTTTAAGATGTCGGAAGCTATTTTATTTTTGTGTCAAAGTTGATAAATCAATTTAGAGAAATTTAAGGCCCTTAAAAGTATCAGGTCATAAATGCTAATTTACTAGGTATTAAATTTAGTATAATTTTTGATTATGTGACGTAAAGTTTTATGCCAGGGCTGTTCAATTAGTTTGTCATGGGGGGCCAGTTCATGAAAAGCATCCAAATGACAGGCCGGAGAAATATGGCTTGCAATATAAGTGCTGACACAACTGCATAAGAGCCCATATGTTGTATTTTTAACATATGGTCTAATGTAATGTTAATTTAAAGTCTTATGCAAGTTTAAGCTTTTAATTAGGTAAATAGTTAAATGAACTGTTGATCTGTGTTCATACATACATTAATCATTTTAATAATTTGTAATATTTCATCTAACATATCTTTTGTTTACATTGCACTGAAAGCCACGCACAACTCTCACCGCTATGGTGTGAGATGTTTTCTACAGGGTGTCGATCCGATTGCGCACGCATATTGTTATATATTCTTACATTGGAAATAACAAACTTGCACGCGGAAAAGGCGCATTACATAAACGGCCCGCTACTATAGTTAATCCAATGTGCGTGCGTATAAGCCTTGATGTATAAGCTCGGAACTTTAAACGAGCGCACAGGTGGCATAACTTTGTTTAATTGCAGCAGTTTCGTCATGTACAATAGAAATGTGGCGTTGAGAAGCTTTTTAGGTTGCTCGCGCCAGTCGCTTAATGTTAGATAACTCATGCTCTGCGAAGCCTTTTACTGCAGCTATTGAACAGACGCACGTCACTTCATTTCTATAGCGGTCGTTTTTCCAACTGAACTAAATGTATTTTTGATGTTTTTGGTCACACTATTTTGAGGGCCAGAACAAATTGCCTTGATGGCCAAGTTTGGCCTGTGGGCTGCCAATTGAGTAGCCCTGTTTTATGCTGAAGTTTACCTGACTTTAATATGCGACTATTGGGGTGCAGTATTATGAAATCTTTCGCTGGATTTGCCGTCACTGTTTTGTTTACTGCAATAACTAAGGCAACACCGTTACTCCTGCTGGTCTATTGGTGCCCCCTGGTGGAAGATTGTCAGTTAGTATTTTTATTCATTATAAGAATAACACTTCAGTTTAGGTGAAGGTATGCTTCATGTAGCATAATTTCACAAAAGCACATCGTTTTTAAGTCGTAATATTTCATTATTTTAAACAGCATTAAATATAGCACATATAATTTTTTTCTGTTTTCTAAATACAGTGTCCTTATAGGTGATTTTTTTTTAAAATCTGTTTATTATTTATACAGTAAGTTAAAATGTTCTGAAACAATGTTACCGGTCGAAACCTAAAGTGGCATTAATGTCCTAAACTATGGAAAGACTCTTAAAAAAGGGCTTAAAAGGTATTGAATTTCAATCTCTGATTCTTGTATATATACCCTGTGTGTGAACTATATCTTTAAATCTTTATTATTTAGCAATGTTCAGTCCTCTTTTATTAACTGAAAATACTCTAAATTCAATTTTTACACGTTTGTGCAGAAGTGGGTAATATGGTGTAAACAATGCTTACTTTACTGTCAGGGTCTTTGTGTTGTTTGTTTACTTTATATTCTATATCAGACATGGGTAGTGTTTTAGCTAATATGTGTGTGTTGTCATTGCAGAACCCCATGGGAAGTGGCCTGGCATTAGCAATCTCACAGGCTTCCCACTTTCTCCAGCCTCCACCACACCAGTCCATAATAATTGAGAGAATGCATTCAGGTACCTAATATCATGTCTTGTTGTCAATTAGCAGTCTGAAGTCAACTGAGGGGCTTCAGAAATTACAAAAATGGCTTCTAATCAGTTTACTGTAGATTGAACGAATGTTTTTCATCTGTAGGTGCAAGGCGGTTTGTGACTCTAGATTTCGGCCGGCCGGTGTTGCTCACGGATGCACTGATCCCCACATGTGCAGACTTGGCCTCACTTTCCATTGACATTTGGACTCTTGGGGAGGAAGTGGATGGGAGGAGACTGGTAGTCGCCACAGATATCAGCACACATTCTCTGATTCTGCATGATTTACTACCCCCTCCTGTCTGCAGATTCATGAAGGTTTATAAATGCTTATTTTAAAAGAGTGTGAACAGGATTCATAGTGGTCTTTTTAAGAAGCAAGTCACTGTCACTCACTCTCTGTGCCTCTCTCCTAGATCACTGTGATTGGTCGATATGGCAGCACTAATGCCCGGGCTAAAATCCCATTGGGTTTTTATTATGGCCACACCTACATCCTGCCATGGGAAAGTGAATTGAAGCTGATGCATGATCCTCTGAGGGGAGAAAGCGAAGCTGCTGGGCAACCGGATCTGGATCAACATTTATCAATGATGGTGGCACTGCAGGAAGACATTCAATGCAGGTCAGTGAAACAGCAAATAAGCATAATTAAATGAGCTCCTGCTGCAGAATACAATCATTTCCATTTTTTTTCTTCTCCTTTTTTAAAATAATCAGTATTTTTTATTTAAGAATATAATACATTTGTCAAAAATGATAGTAAAGAGAGTGTTAATGAAGCAGTTTTACTTTCACATATAAATGTTCTCATCAAATTCAACAATTTTTTTTAATCAATTTGATTATTATTTTCACATGTAATTTACAGAATTCCATAAATGCTCAAGTAAACAATATTTTTAGCCACTCTTGCACACTCCCCAACCCTTTCTGCACAGACCTCTTAAATGGACCTTAATGCAACATGAAAAATAGAGAAAAAAAGGAAAAACAAGTGAATAAATACTGAACAATAATAAATCCATACATAAATGAATAACTTTTAATGATAAAAATTTATACAAAAGGGTAAAGAACCGTTGACATCACATCATCACTTTCCATCAAAGTAAAATCGAAATTATTTATCTAAAAACCAAATGTCCCCAAAACTTGAAGGCTTTTTTCTGGTTAAACATCAAATAATTTTTATAAAATGCATTGGCTTTCTGCAAAGATATCAGCAGCTTTTTATACACTGATAATATTAAAGATTATTAAGCACAAAATCAGCATATTGCAATGGTTTTTCAGGTTTTTTTTTTAAATATGATTTATGTTAAGATGATTCACAAGAGTGGAGTAAGGGACTGTTAACAAAGAACATGTCTTTTTATTTAAAACGTGAGATGCATATTACAGTTGTCATTTAGCTTATTACTGCAAACAGTAACTTGAAATACTTGCCATGCCTCCAAGATCTTCTGATTGATCCACTAATTTGAATTCGACTGTGATGAGCATCACTATGTAAATGTTAGAACTCTTTTAATTTGCCAAGGCATCTTAAAGCAGTACTCCTATGCGAGGTGCTTTATAAGATGAGACCCAAATGTAACGTTGATGCTCCTCCATCAAGCACATTTATATGGAAAAGCAGCTCATTGGAATAGAAAAACATGCTCTGTGTGCATGCTTCAAATCCAGCCTTTTAAAATCATTAAAATCTTACCAACATGAAAGTTTTTTTTTTTGCTTTGTCCTGGAATTTATTTAGCCCATTTAAGCAGAATTGATAGTAATCTAAGTGCTGATCTTTTGTGTAGGTATAATTTGGCCTGCCATCGGCTTGAGACGTTACTTCAGAACATCGACCTGCCACCTCTTAACAGTGCTAATAATGCACAGTATTTCTTGCGTAAGCCTGATAAAGCTGTTGAGGAGGACTCCCGCGTCTTCTCCGCCTACCAAGACTGCATTCAGCTCCAGCTGCAGCTGAACCTGGCCCACCACGCTGTCCAGAGGCTGCGCGTGTCTCTGGGAGCAACTCGAAAACACCTGCCTGAAAATTACGACCCCCGAGAGCTGGTTCAGAACTCTTCTACCGAGCAGCTCCGAACCATCATCAGATATCTACTGGACACACTGCTCAGCCTGCTGCACTCCTGTAATGGTGAGGGAGACGGTCAAACATCAGCTCGCTGTCAAAACCAATTCAGCTTAATCTAAACCTTGTATGTGAATATTATATTCTTCTCTTTTGCACTCTCAGGCAACTCGGTGCCCTCAGTGTTGCAGAACACATTTCATGCTCAGGCGTGCGAGGAGCTCTTTAAGCAGCTTTGCATCAGTGGGACGCCTAAGATTCGTCTGCATGCGGGTCTGCTGCTGGTGCAGCTGTGTGGAGGAGAGAGGTGGTGGGGCCAGTTCCTGTCCAACGTCCTGCAAGAGCTCTATAACTCTGAGCAGCTGCTCATCTTCCCTCAGGACAGGTAACACTACACTTTAAAAAAGATTATTGCTGCCTTAATTCTTTGATGCAAATACTCTTTTTCTAGTCATCTCTACTTACACTACACTAAGTTTGGGGACAGTAGGATTTATAAATGTTTTAAAATAAGCCTCTCCTGCTCACACATTATTTAAACAAAAATACAGTACAAATTGTAAAATTGTGAAAAAAGTTATTGCACTATAAAATAATTGTTCAAAAGTAGTTTATAATTGAATTGAATTGAATTTAATTAATTGTTAAATTTTCCAATGATTTTAAAGATGAATTTTCAGCTTCATTACTCCAGTCTTCAGATTCACATGATCCTTCAGAAATCACTCTAATATGAATTATTATTATTATTATGTTGATTATTATTATTATTTCTATAATTATTATTGTTAATATTATTAATTGTAATAGTAATAAAAGTAATAATGACTGAAGTAATAATTCCATTTGAAACTAAATACAATAAGAAAGCAGTTATTTAAAATTGTAATAAATATTTAACAATTTAGCTTTTTTTACATTTAATAAATGCCGCCTTGATGAATACAGTGCAGTTGAAGGCAAAATTATTAACCCCCCCCCCCCTAAATTATTATTATTATTTTTTTTTTATATAATTTCCCAAATGATGTTTAACAGGGCAAGGAAATTTTCATAGTATGTCTGATAATAATTTTTTTCTCTAAAGAAAGTCTTATTTCTAATAGCTGCTAGAATAAAAGCAGTTTTTAATTTTTTTTAAAAACTGTTTTAAGATCAAAATTAATTTAGCCCCTTTAAGCTATATATTGTTTTCAATAGTCTACAGAATAATGGGGATGGTGAGAGGAAAAATGACAGAAAGAAAAGAATCAATAAAATAGCTAAATAAGAGGGAAATTTAAGGTGCGAAGTGGATTTTTTTTATTGTAAAAAAGTGAATTATTAAAAATGACTAATATTAAGACATATTTAGTGAAGATTTTTTTTTGTTTCATGGCGACTTTAGGCTATTTAATTTTACGTGTGTGTGTCTGCAAACACAGATAGATAAATACACTTCATTTTAAAGTTTTATATATATATATATATATATAATATTTGAAATATTCAATTTTTAAGCCAGGAAAACCCATATAAACAGTTAATTGTATTGCTTTTTATAAGTAAATAATACAATTAAACATTTTCATGAAGATTTAAATATTGTTCAGTTTAACAGGCTATTTGTAGAATTCCGAAATTCCGAAGAAGTAATTGTTCATGAAATATTTAAGTGTAATAAATTTGAGATGCTTTACATAAAGAAAGCCAGCAAAGAGTTAAGGCCAGCATTGCTACATTTTTAATATACCAGAATCAGAATTGGTTTTATTGCCAAGTCTGCTTTACACACACACACAAGGAATTAGTTTTTTCTACAAATGTTTCCAGTGTACATAAAGTGACAACATGAAAAAAAAAAGAAAAAGATGACAAACATAGACAAGGATCAACTTGGCACCAGAGGGCTGCTACTTTTTACAGTGGTTAGCATCACTGCTGGCATCAAAGCTATTAATAAAGATTCTCATGTTTTTCCACCCTTTTCCTCAGAGTATTCATGCTGCTGTCCTGTATTGGCCAAAGATCTCTAAGTAACAGTGGGGTTCTGGAGGGTTTGTTAAACCTTTTAGACACACTGCTATCGCCTCTGCAGCAGGCCAGTGCAGCTCAGCCCCGCAGGACAGAAGGTACGTGTTTGAGAGGGAAGACTTTTCTGTGTAGGCTTTTGTTTATGCTACAGGTTTCTGTGTCTTTCGTAGGTGTGCTGGATATCCCTATGATCAGCTGGGTGGTTATGCTGGTCTCTCGATTACTTGACTATGTGGCCAGTGTGGAAGATGAAGCCAGCGCAGCTAAGAAACCTCTGGGAGCTAAAGACAGGGAAAGATCATTTACAGGTAAGGTTCAGTACACGTTTTAACAATTGATTATGGTTTATACTATTTTTGTGTGTGTCTATGTGTTGTGACATGTATTTTTTGTAACTCTGTCCTATGCTGCCTCTCTAAGTAAGGCAAAAAATAGAAATGAGCAAGTTTGGATATGAAGATATTTGACGAGCATATCTTTTTACTGCTGATATGAAATGTTTCATTGTTGAGAAACTTCCAGAAATTATATTAAGCTTATTTAGTGTTCAAAGAAATGTTCAATCTTATATCCTTACTAAAAGTGTTGTGGTGATTTAAAATAATAATAAAAAAAAACTAAATTACTTTTTTTGAAATCACATAATTTTGCTGAATAAGAACAGCTTATATATGATAAGAGAAATTTTGGTAACATTTGAAACCTCTCTGCTGTCACTTTTGATCAATTTAATGTGTCCTTAATAAATATATGAATTCATATATTTCAAAAAGTCTTACTAGTCACAAACCTTTGAAAGATTGTATGCATGGTATGCAGAATTTATTTATTTATTTTTTTTTACTGATGATGCTTACTACACTTTTCTCTTTTCTATGACACCAGGGAACCAGTGGAGTTTTATAAATAACAGTCTGCAGTCTCAGAATCCAAGCAGATCTGCTAAAGGCAGCAACAGCAGTTTAGATCGGCTGTATTCACGCAAGATCCGCAAACAGCTAGTCCATCACAAACAGGTACACGTGTCTTGCACAAACCTTTTTATTGTGCTAGGGTTTTTCTATACCATCACATCAACTTTAAGTCTTTTATTGATATAGAGAGGATGTTAATCAATATTTATTTCATTGCAGCAGTTGAATTTATTGAAAGCCAAACAAAAAGCTTTAGTAGAGCAAATCGAGAAGGAGAAAATTCAGAGCAACAAAGGCTCCTCTTACAAGCTGTTGGTGGAACAGGCCAAACTCAAGCAAGCCACTTCCAAGGTGAGTATCTAGTTATTGGCACCTCATTTTTAAGGCAAGAATTTGTGGCAACAAATATGAAAGAACAAATTCGCAATTATTAACATAGCTTTGAGATGGATCATAATGCTAACCTTGTGGTTATGTGTCTTTGGCAGCACTTTAAAGATCTGATCCGTTTGAGGCGGACAGCTGAATGGCCTCGCTCCACTTTGGACTCTGAAGCGTCAGTGGCAAAAGAGACCCCCGAGGTGGAGCTCCTGCCCTTCACGCTAGCTCACGAGCGTTGCATCTGTGTGGTCCAGAAACTTGCTCTTTTCCTCCTCTCAATGGACTTCACCTGCCACGCAGACCTGCTCCTGTTTGTTTGCAAGGTGCAAATTATATTATGCATCCCTAAGTCGAGGCTGAAATGCAGGGGTGACCGCGCTTTCCCAGTAGCTGGTCCTACATTGTAGAATGCTCTGCCCCTCTGTATTGGATCTATATTAAATCTAGGTCGAAAACGTACCTTTTTGATTTGGCATTTTATCAGTGGGAGTTGTTTGTTTTAGCTATAATTTTATATCTTTCACTTTGTGGTTTGTTTTGTGCACCACATTGGTCAACCTTTGTTTGTTTAATAGTGCTATATAAATAAAATTGACATTGACAGATTAAATAAAAATATAATATACCGTATTTTCCACACAATAAGACGCAGCGGATTATAGGCTGCAGTTTCAATTCCGAGGTTTATGTCTGTACTGAACCCATAAACAAAGCACACCACATTATAAGGCGCGTGCTAAAACTGGCGTTTATTAGTTTTTACATAATTACATAATCTCCTACAAATCCATCAAAGCCCTCATCTTATGTGTCTGAATTGACCTGCTGGGCAATACCGCCATCAAACATGCCGAGCTCTCATCATTGTCGGAGCTATTCTTATAGTCTTATAGTTAAAGCAGATATCTTAGGCCAGGCATCCACAATCCTTTCACATATGGTGGCGTAATTCGCCCGGCACTGCCTACTAGTCATAGTAAAGGTGTGTTCGCCATCTGTCATCCATCGGTTCCAATCTGCTCGCAGCTTCACTTTGAACGCCATGTTTACAACAGTGATCAGCGGTTGAAGTTCTTTTGTTAATTGCTGCCAGCGTACATAGTGTACTTATTATGTCCCTGTGTCAACGGGAAACGCTCCAACAGGCAATGAAGCAGAGCGCTAACCAAAGTTGCACAACAACATTTTACAGATTTTGGAATTCAGTGCACACATAAGGTGCACCGGATTATTAGGCCTCTCGGCTGAATTTTGACAAAACTTTTAGGGTGCTTTCATAACCAGACTTTTGATCTTTTTTGGATCTGTACCGAAACAATCCGTCTCGGCTCAATTAAAAGAAACTCTGGAGCGGATCAATTGTAGTTAGACAGCAATATGATCCAACGAACTAACAAAACAGGCTATATCACAGTGTATTACGGATAGCGAACCATACAACATTTTAACAATTTTAATTCCTGTTCCAGAACAAAACAATCAATCTACAGGTGTAAAAGCACCCTAAGACTCTTAGGTGCGCCTTATAGTGTAAAAAATGCAGTTTTTTTTATTATTATTAATGCTTATTAATCAGAGAGATGCAGCATTAAATATAAAGAATCAGTAATACATCATTGGTTCATTCTATGGGCATATAACAAAATCAATTGACATTTTCTTTCTGTCTGACTCAAACAGTACAATTATAAATGTTAGCATCAAAAGCGATATTTAGTACAGAAACATGAATGATCTAAAACATAATAAGATAAATAAAAAGATGCGATACAAATAATTATGCAAGTACAAATCATCTTATTATAAATCTTATTATATCGAAAAATTAAATATAATTTATTTGTATAAAATGTTATTGTTATTCATATATTTTTATAGAATCTGAATGTATATATGTTTGACGGGTTTTGTTTGTTTAAAAAAAAAAAAGAAAATTACAAGCTAAAATATGCAGAAGATTGACCCCCTGTTTTGAACCATTTTTAATGTATCGAATATACTCCAACTACCCAGGTCTTGGCCAGGATAGCAAATGCGACACGACCCACGATCCACCTGTGTGAAGTAGTTTCCGAGCAGCAGCTGGAACGGTTGCTTCTGTTATTGGTGGGGACTGACTTCAACCGCGGGGACATTTCGTGGGGTGGAGCCTGGGCTCAGTACTCCCTCACCTGCATGCTGCAGGATATCCTTGCAGGTTTGTGTTTTAGACCCACGGACAGTCATCCACTCATCATTTATTGATTTGTATTTAGCTGACACTGTATGTGTTTTTAGGAGAGCTGCTGTCTCCGGGGTGTGTGGATGGGATGGAGGGTGCGGGGGCTGATGAGGCCGGGGCCGCCTCTTCCTCTGTAGTGGTGGATTCGGATGACTCTCTCCCTCAGCCGACCCCCATCCCGCTGGTAGAGACCATCGATGAGCCTCTGGGACCTGATATCATCGCAGGTACACCCGGGACATCCTCTGTGTTCCAAAGTGCGTTGGTAACCCCGTCCGAATAGCACATCACCCCACATGGACCCCTTCCCTCACCTGCCTTTTATTTCTGATGTTATTTTTGTACGATTTACTCTCTTGGATGAGCTGCATGCATATTTTTGTTTTTGTGTTTGTTATATTATGTATTAGTAGTGCAATGCAGTGGACAGGAGGTTGGAACAGTGCAGATGACTTGGGCTCATTTGAAATCTACAACAGCTAGTCATTGTGTTATTAGATGTTAATGCTATCAGGAATGATTGATGTATTAACCCTTGTGTGCTGTTGGGGTGGTTGTTCTCCACTCTGGGGTGATTTTGAGTCTTAATTAGGCTACAACTTTGTCTGCGTTTCAGCAAATTTAATGGTTTTTGTTGACATCTTATTTTGACACACTTTAGGAAAATGCTTTGACAATGTTCAAAATTTTAATAATACACTTGTATTACACAAATTTGCTATCCTTCCATTATGTTTTTTACATAACGAAAGGGTATTAAATTTGAACTGTACACAAAGGTTAAAAATGAGTCACCGATCCACTGTTTGAGCCCCCTGTCTGTCTAAGAGGAGTGTGACGGCCTGACGTCCTGAAGAAGGTTGTCTGTGTAGTTGCTTCTCTTGGTACGCTGCTCTTGCCATATTGAAGGTCTTTTCGTTGCCCAAAGGTGCTCCTCCACTGTCATCTTTGGAAAAAGATAAAGAAATTGACTTTGACTTGCTACAAGACTTGATGGATGTTGATATTGATCCTTTAGATATTGATTTGGAAAAAGATCCACTCGCCGCCAAGGTTTTCAAGGTATGGACCTCATTCTCTTTCTCTTTCCCTTCTTTTTAAAACATTAGTGGTGTAACAGTTGATAATGATCATAGTTTTGTTCACAGTTAGAATGTTTACATGTGGACCAATAGTTTGTAATTTATTGGTAATTTATTTTCGACAATTAGAATAAAGAGATTGCTAACTCATGATAGGCTACGAGTGAGACCCTTCTAATAGCTGATATTTTCTTCACAGAGAAATATCTACAATTACTACAAGTCATATATATATATATATATATATATATATATATATATATATATATATATATATATATATATATATATATATATGCATTATGCTTTAATTAATTAATAAATTTTTTTCACAAGGGACAGTGTATATTAATCAACGTTCCCCAAACACGTAAATGTACCCAAATTAGCCCAGAGACTAGTTTTCATTGGTGGTCCCTTTGCCAGCTATTAAAGGCATGTACCAATAAAAATACAAATTCAAACTCTAAACAATACTCAGATGGATAACAAAAAACAACCTCAACAACAATGTCAAAAACCCAGTGTTCCCAATGTCGATTGTTAAGAAGCCATTTCTGATACTTAGATTTACTGATTTAAAAGATGCACATTCTCTAACAGATTGTGGTGTCAAATTCCACTGATGTGATGGTCTAAAAGAAAAAGTTTTTTTAAGTACTTAATACTATATTAATACTATAATTACTCAAAAACATTCCACACGCAACATGCAGTGGGTACAGAAAGTATTCAAACCCTCTTAAATTTTTCAGTTTTGTGTCTTATAGATGTATTAGATGAGGGGTGTCGTTTTAGCTCAGGGGCCACATGGAGGAAAAACCTATTCCCAAGTGCTCCTGATTGGTAAATTCATGGTATATATAACTTAAAAACAACAACTTCAGATAGTTTTCTTTGTTTTAATATGATCAACATAAAACACAAAGCCTGAGGACAACACAATCTCACTGCAGTACATAACTTTTTAATTTAGTGGCCAATTCATTTAAATTTGTACAATCTCATTCGTACAATTTTGTATGATTTGCTTATCCACCAAAGACGGTTGGGTTTAAGGGGTGTGGTTGGGTGCCATGCCTCCTTTTTTTTTATATTAAACATATTCGAACAGCTGAACTTGAATTGGGCACTAAACTGGCCAAACGTAAAATAGTTACATTTCCTTGTGAGAACACAAGTGTGGGATGGCAGGGCATAGATGTGGTCTTTCTCTCTGAGAAGGCTGTCACACTGACACTGATTCAGGCATCTCAATCGGATGAAATTTACAGTTTGCAATTCCGCCATCCAGTGGACACAATTGAAACAGCAGTTTTTTTATTGAAAAATTGCACTTAATTTTTATACTTTACAGAATTATCTCGAGGGCAGGTTCGACACCCTGTATTAGATTAAAAGGGTGCTTCCACTAAATACTGAGCAAAGAGTCTAAATACTACTGCCATGTGATGTTTTAGTTTTTCTTTTTTAATTAATCTGCAAAATGACAACAATTCTGTGTTTTTCTATCAATATGGGGTGCTGGGTGCACATTAATGAGGAAAAATTTACTTCTATTTATATCTGCAATATAACAGAGTGAAAAATGCAATGGGTCTGAATACTTTCCACTGTATTCTCATTGTTATGTTGTTTAAATGTGACTGTTTCATACTTATAATGCATGTGATGGGAAAAAATGACTTAAAGTGTGATGTAATGCTTATCAGTGATTTACAGATACCTAAATGTATTAACTTTTTTTCCCACTTAAAGTATTTTTCAGTTTTTCTCAGAGAGTTGTATCTGAGATTTTTGTTGTTGTTGTTTTCTTCCCCCTTTATGTTCTCTCTCACAGCCAATCAGCAGTACCTGGTATGATTACTGGGGTGCTGACTATGGCTCATACAGTTATAACCCCTACACGGGTGGTGTGGGCATACCTGTGTCCAAACCACCTGCAGCCACAACAGTGGAGAAACCTGGATCACAAAACCTCTCAGTGTCTGTTTCTCAAGGTGTGAACAGGCATAAAATGAATGAAAGAAAATAAATGGTACAATAAAGAGTGTGAGTGCTGAAGTCTCCTCATTTTTGTCCTAGCACTGGATGCTCGACTGGAGGTTGGATTAGAACAGCAAGCAGAACTCATGCTGAAGATGATGGCAACACTGGAGGCAGACGCTATATTGCAAGCACTAACGTCCACTTCACCTTCTGGTACGTGCACACACACAAAACAAACATAAATGCACAAAGTTAGGGTAAATATGGTATTATAAAGGAATATGTTTTTTTTTTTAATTTGTTGTTTATTTTTTTATTAAATAAAATTGTAATTTAATTTAATATTTTTTTTCTTTAATTTCATTAAAATTTGTATTAAATGGTTTATTAAATTACATTACATTTCTTTTAATTCAATTTTAATTAAAGTTTTTACATTTATTTATTTAACATAAATGCACAAAGTTATGGTAAATATGGTATTATAAAGGAATATGTTTTTTTTATTTTTAATTATTTATTTGTTGTTTATTTTTTGTATTAAATAAAATTGTAATTTAATTTAATTATTTTTTTCTTTAATTATATTTTAAATTTGTATTAAATGTTTTATTAAATTAAATTACATTTCTTTTAATTCAATTTTAATTAAAGTTTTTACATTTATTTATTTAATTTCTTAATTTACTTTCATTTCAAGTAATTTAATTTATTTTCATTTCATTTCTCAAATTTTATTTTGATTTTACTTTTAAGTCAATTACATTTTTATTAGTCATTTATTTTTATTTTATTTTATTTCATTCTTTTGAAATTATTTGTATATTATTTTGATCTTAATTTATTTTAATTAAAATTAAGTACATTATTATTATTAATTTATTTTAATTAGTTAATTTAAATTTTATTTCTTTAATTTAATTTTAATTTAATTTATTCAGATTTTACTTTAACTCAATTTAATTTTTATAATTCATTTATTTTAATTTATTTTTATATCATATATTTTTCAAATAATTATTTTTAAATATTAAATATTATTTTAAGCTTCATCTAACTAGTGTTGTCCTTTCTACTCATAATATTTTCCCCTCTTATTTCAGTAGCCCAGTCTGCAAATGGAACAGATGACTCTCTTTTGCGTGGGGGCTTCCACAACTCTCCCCCCAGCAGCAGTCTGATGGTACAAGCCTCATCCATCCCCATGCTGAGCACCTGCTTCAACAAACTTTTCTCTTTACTGCAAGTGCATCATGTTCAGGTACAGGCACACACTCGTCATGTCTTGTCACTTTTATTTACCTTTGATGTCTTTACACCATATAACTGACTATATTGATCTGTCTCTCTCCAGTTGGAGTCTTTGCTGCAGTTATGGTTGACTTTGAGTTTGAGTTCCTGCTCTGGAGGGTCAGAAGAGAGCGGCTCAGACATCTTTCTCTTCAATGCCAGCAGAGTGCCCACAATCCCTCTTAACCAAGGTCTGACATTCACTGACTATAATAAAAGTGATAATTTTTTAATTAATCTTTTTTTCAGTGTTGTTATCTGTTTTTTTTAATATATAATGCATGCTTGTTAAGAAACACTTATGATTGTAAATTATAAACAGATTGTTTATTTCCAATGTTGCCAAGTACATTGCCAATGCTGCTGATATGGCATAAAAAAGTAAATATATAGATTCTTTTATTAGTATTTTGGTTCTGAGACAACACTACCTGACAAAAGTCTTGTTGTCGATCCCAGTTGTAAGATCAACTAATAACAATCTTCTAGTTGATCATTTAGAAAAGTGGCAGAAGGTAGTTTATCTGATGAATCATCTATTGAACGGCATCCCAATCGTCACAAATACTGCAGGAGACTTGTTGGAACCCGCATAGACCCAAGATTCTCACAGAAATCAGTTAGTCCAGAATGCATGGCAACATCAACAGCCTGAGATATTGAGACATTTGTGCTGCCCATTACATTACAAACCACAGGAGAGGGTAAATTCTTCAGCAGGATAGCGCTCCTTCTCATACTTTAGCCTCCACATTAAAGTTCCTGAAAGCGAAGGACAAGGTGCTCCAGGATTGGCCAGCCCAGTTACCAATTCGAACATTATTGAGCATGTCTGGGGTAAGATGGAGGAGAAATTGAAGTTGAGTTCAAAGAATCTTGATGAACTCTGGGAGTTCTGCAAGAACACTTTCCTTGCCATTCCAGTCATTGCCGAGATGTATGGATGTAGTCATCCAAGCTCATGAGTGTCATACACAATATTCATTCTTTCTCCACTGCACCATGACTTTATATTCTATACTGTACAATATTTCTGTTAAGTGATGACTTTTGTCTAAGCAAAGTCGGACCTCACTGTCCTAAATAAATAATTAAAATCAAGCCATGATCATTTTTTTTTTTTTTTGGTAAAATAGGCGTAACCTAGAGGCCTTTGCCTTTCATATAAGCCACTTTTGATACCAAATGGTCAGCTAGAAGTCAAGTTATGATTTGTTGTTTCTAAAACTTGGATAAGCGACAAGACTTTTGTCGGGTAGTGTATTTGTTAAGTATGTAAATCATATTGCATCTCAAGAAGTTCATAAAACAAATCTTTCGGAATCTAAACCCAGATTTGAATGATAGAAATCTGTAGATTTAAACATTCCTATTATATGGTGCAGTCATTGGGTCATCTTATGTATTGACATTGGTTCAATCTCAAAGAAAAAACAAAGAATGATTCAAGTAATGGAATAAAGATGCATATCTTAAAGAAATAAACCTCACAAAGTAATGGTATGCTTATAAATTAATGATTATAAATGTTTCTACATAAACAGAATTATAGTTCACTCTGTATTGTGTATTAACTGAAATTGACTGAAGCTCTTGTCTCTGCCAGCCTCCATTAGCAGTTTCCTGTCAGTGCTAGCGTGGTACCCCAACACCTCTCTGAGAACATGGTGTCTTGTCCTGCACAGTCTTACCCTCATGACCAATATGCCTGCTTGTGGTGAGTATCTGATTGGCTGAGCCATCCTTTGTACCTCTGTGTTTGGGAGTCCCCACACGGAGACTTGTATTTCTATATGTTGGTGTTCTAAGGGGGAATCCCGCCAGCTAAGCAGATCTGGGTTTTATTGCCCCTCTAAATCCTGATTATAAAAGCAAACAGTCGGGTGACCTAGTTTCCAAATAACCATGCTGATAAATATGTGCAACATCTGCAGCCTCCAGCAGTGGGATGGGTGTTCAGGAGAGCACGGCCCAGCAGATGGTGTCTGACCCCACACTTGTGCATGTGCTTGTGCGCTTCCTGTCTGGAGGAAACCCTCACGGCACCAGCCAGCACAGCTCACAGGTATTGAGCTTAATGAGATGGATTCGCATGACTGCTTTCACAGTGATCTATTTGGGAAAATGTCTCACTGACTCATCTTCTTGTCTCTTTCCAGGTCGGCCCCACAGCAACACAAGCCTTGCAGGAGTTTTTAACCAGGTTGCAGGTGCACCTGTCCTCCACCTGTCCACAGATGTTCAGTGAATTTCTGCTTAAACTGTTGCACATCCTGTCTACGGAGAGGTACATGATTCATTCAGCATCTATGGAATTACACCAGTGTTTAATTCATCATTAGTCAATCTTTTTGTTTGTCTTTTTGATTTTAAACATGCTTTTTAAAGTGAGAATTAGTCATTTAAAATAGAGACTTGAGTACAATTAATGTTTTATTTAACACTTTACTTAAGGGGGGTGTTCATAAGATATGTATTATGAATCTGAATGAGATTTTATGCATGCTTATGGCAACTGGTTAAGTCATTCCCTCTATTATGTCATTTTAATTGCAAAGATCACATTGTTTGAGTAGTTTTTTTGAAAAGTTGACATACATCATGATCAGTCTTTGTTATGATAACTTGAAATTATTAAGACAACAGAACGTGTCATAAATCTCTCATAAACATGATTTTTTAGGATGTCGTTATTATTGTAGCATTCATTTTATAACATTATCCCAATGTTTTTCTTGACCTCAACTACAGTGGTACAAATTTAATTTAATGTTACATTAAATGTCAATAAATGTTAACGATGCTGTTTTAAATGAATTGACACTATTGTATGTGAGCATTGACACTATTAATGAGGAATTCTAAAGACAAATTTATGTTGTTCCACTAAAAAAAAGTGATCAGAAAAAAATTCTTGACACAATTATAATGGGCTTATGACAATCATCGGGGGTGCAAAGTTCTCACCTTTTGTCAAAACTCTTAATTTTCTTCCTAAAATGAGCCATTCACTTGAATTGTGTACATCTATAAAGCATTTTTTGAGGTGTGGGGTGGGGGTGTATAATTGCAAAGGCTACAATATAAATATATAAACATATTTAGACACATCTCTGTCTGAGAGCAAATGCATAATACTGTAATCCTCTTTGTATGACAGGCTTATTAACCAATAGAGTGGAGAGTTTGCATCCCTGAATCATGTTTATGACTGATTTGATGTCTTGATAACCTCAGGTTGTCCTATCAAAGATAGGTTATGGTGTATTTGTTTATATCAAGTTGTCATGACAGAAAACATCTCAAACAAGTCATTTTTGCACTTAAAAGACATAACTGAGCTGATGATGGTTAAAGACAGTTGTCGTATACAGTGTTGTGCTAGTTACTCAAATATAGTTAGTTACTAGTTATTTAATTCAAAAAGTCACTCAAATACTTTATAGATTACAGCGAAAAGTAATACATTGCTGTTAAGTCGTTTTTGAGTTACTTTTCCAAATAACTCTTTCAATTCTCCCATTAATGCCCTCATAACATCACTTCAGTGCTGCATGGAGAATACACTGTTGATCAACTTTACAGTTTTAATTAATTTGGATTCTCACAACTAAAACACAAGACAGACTTAAACAAAAAGTTATTTTTAAACAATTATTTAAGTCAGACTACCAGCACAAACATGAAAATATCAGAAAAAAAGCAAAAACTAAAGTTTCTTCAGCATCATAAAAGTTGTTGTATTGAACCCTTAAACATGTTAAATACATTCGTTAAATTCACTTTATAGTAAGATGTAGGTTAAACTGCAGCCATAATTAATGAATTTACAAAGTAACGGACAAACGCCTCATTGTTACGAAAACCGATTTAATATATATAAAAAGTAATGTGTTACAGTAACTAAATCATAAGAAGTGTTACTGTACTTTTGAGAGTAATGCATTAGAATATTGAGTTACTTCCTAAAAAATACTTAGTTGGTTTTTATGAAAAGTAATGCATTACTTTAGATTTGCGTTCTTACCCGGCTGAGCCTTAAACTCTTTCAGAACTTGCAAGGATTTAAAAAAAAAAAAAAAAGCTAATACATAAAGTAACTCGCATTACATTTAAAAAAAAAAAACTCAGATATTATTACTTTATTACACAGATATTATAACTTCCAACACTGGTCTTCAGCCAGGGTGTTCTCGAGGTCTCAAAATGTTTTAAATTTCAAAAAGAAAATTTTAGGCTTTAAAGTCTTAAATTCACTTAAATATTGGGTTGTAGGTATTAAATCATTTTAAACTTAAATTTAAACATCTTAATTTCCCTATGTCCAAGTAAAGCTACCCAATCGGGCTGATACCCACTCACCAATACTTTCTCAAATTTTTTTTTTATATATTACATTTTTTTTTATTGCAAAGAGATATAATTTACAATAGCTGTTAGACAGTTTTACAGCAAATTCCTTAAATGAAATTCCCTAAAGAAAACTAAAGCATCACATCCCTTTACATGATCTTCCATTAATGCCAAAACTATTTACAGAAGTAACCGCTCCATTAGAAAAAAATCCTTAGTGTTTATCTCTGTACAAGTCTAAAATTTAATTCATAATGATCTTAAAAACATCTTAAAGGTTTAAATTTGATTTGAAGAAACCCGCAGAAACCCTGTAAGTATGTATAAAATCTCCCTTATAGTAATAACATGTGTCCTGTCATGATTTTAAAGGTTTCATGACAGTCTTTTGAACACCCTTCAATTAAAATTAAACCGTATTTTATTTTTACCCTCTTCTCTGTTTGAAGGGGTCCATTCCAGTCCGGTCAGGGTCCTTTAGATGCACAGGTGAAGCTTTTGGAGTTCACCCTGGAACAAAACTTTGAAGTTGTTTCTGTGACCACCATCTTGGCCGTCATCGAATCCATCACCTTCCTGGTTCACCATTACATCACCTGCTCTGATAAGGTGGTCTCACGCAGCGGTTCCGACAGCTCTGTTGGGGCTCGTGCCTGTTTCGGGGGCCTTTTCGCCAATATCATCCGTCCCGGTGATGCTAAGGCCGTGTGTGGTGAGACCACACGAGACCAGCTGATGTTTGACCTCCTGAAACTGGTCAATGCTTTGGTGATGCTGCCTCTGTCAGGTGATAGGGAGTTCAGCGGGAGGCTTCCTCCAGCAGGTGGAGCTACTGACAGCGTGTCGGATGAAGAAAAAGTGTGTGGAAGTAAAGAGTGTGGGGCGGCAGGCACAGCTCAGCATCAGGGACCAGCAGCAGGAGTGGCAGATCTGGTTTTGGCCAATCAGCAAATTATGAGTCAAATCCTGTCAGCTCTGGGGCAGTGCAACAGCAGTGCCATGGCCATGATAATTGGTACATCACTTTATTTAAAAATAATAAATGTTAAATTATATTATATTATATTATATTATATTATATTATATTATATTGTATTATTTTACATTATATTATATAACATTATATATGAGGAGATTGTGTAGTTAATTCTATAAAGTAATTTATTACAAAAACATTAAGCAGCACAACTGTTTTCAAAATTGACAGAAATGTTTTTAACCACCAAATCTAGATCTGCAGATGTTTTTTTTTTTTTTTTGATTGGTCATTCAATATTGAAAACTAGAGTAATGGCTGTTGACTTTGTTATCAGATAAATATTTTTTATAACGTTTTTAAATATTAATACAAATGATTAAAGTTTATTTTGTAATGATATACAGTATATTGTATAATATTGAATTTCATGCCTTAATCATTTTGCTAATGTGTTTTATCTGTCTGTCCAGGTGCTAGTGGGCTTCACTTAACCAAACATGAGAATTTTCATGGAGGGCTGGATGCCATCTCGGTGGGCGACGGCCTCTTTACCATTTTGACTACTCTGAGCAAAAGAGCCACATCCGTCCAGGTCATGCTGCAGCCCATTCTCACTTACATGGCCTGTGGGTATATGGGCCGACAGGTAAAACAAAACAAAAAATCTCTCACTATAAATGAGATGTTGCAAATGCATTACATTTTTACATGTTATTTTCTATTATTTTCTAATATAATATTAGTATTATTAATAATATATTAAATAAAAAATAACAAAAACATGTTTTTTATTTTATTATTATTATTTTTTTATTTACACATTCGAACTACAACAAATCTGAGAAAAAATGTTGTCCTGTTTAGCTTATCTGGTTCCATATGTTAATAATGAAGTTAATATGCATTGATTCTTTGTGTTCATTCTTTTACAGGGATCTCTCTCAACATGTCAGCTTTCCGAGCCTTTACTGTGGTTTATTTTGAGAGTGCTTGACACCAGTGAGGCTTTGAAAGCCTTCCATGACATGGGTATGTAAACACTAGTACTGTAAAAAGAAAAGAAAAAATCATTGAGCTAGTCTGCAGGTTCTGAAATTGTGTGTCTGTATGCATATTTAGGTGGTGTGCAGCTCATCTGTAACAACATGGTCACCAGCACACGGGCCATCGTGAACACTGCACGCAGTATGGTGTCCACTATCATGAAGTTTCTGGACTCTGGACCTGGAAAAGCAGCTGACGGCAGCCTGAAAGCACGAGTGCTCACCTCAGAACCAGACAATGCAGAAGGACTGCACAACTTTGCTCCTCTTGGTACAGCAAACATGCTTTTTTTTTAAAAGCCTTTCTTTTTCTTTTTTTTTTCTTTTCGGTTTTTATTGCAAAGACATAAAATTCAAAACATCTTCTAGATATTTGTCACTTTTACAATTTTTTTTTAATCTAATTTCCCTAAACAGGAAAGAGAAAAAAACACATTTCTTCATGACAATAACATATAAACATACCCCTTAACTTTTGTCTTGCATCCTTTATGCCAAATCTATTTACAAGAAAAAGGGGATGTGGAAGAAATATTTACAATAAAAAAATCTTAAAGTTCTACATCAAGACATTCTATAGGTCTGTACCAACATCTAGAACAGTGGTTCTCAAACTGTGGTACGCGTACCACTAGTGGTACGCGGGCTTCCTCCAAGTGGTACGCGGAGGAACCGCTGAATAATGAAAGAAACAATTAACACTTTTAATCCTTTAATGCATAATATAACATCGATGTGATCAGCAGTGGCTGTTTTGTGAAGCGTACGATCACAACGCTGTGCTTAGAATTTTTATTTTAGTGCTTTGTGTCATAAGCTGCTGAAATTCAGTTTCCGAAGTTTAATTGATTCTGAAGCGTGATTTGACTGACATGAAAAGTAGCCAATCACAGTCGACCTTGTCTAGTTGCGTGAAACGTAAGGGCGGGACAAATGCTTTCTGTGTTGCAGAGACAGAAAAAACAACTTAAAAACAAATGTTTTGTTGGAATAATGCTTCTCGGATGTTTTCACTATAGAGATGTCTAACAGAGTAATTAAACCGCGGACATATTTCCTGCCTTTTTGATGATCTACATACACGTTTCGGTTTCGCTCTCCGACAGCCAGTCGACTCGCCTCTGACCTGTCACTCCTCTAAATACATTCTGAATGGCGGCGCGGGAATGGAGGTATTGCGCAATTACTAATTTCTGCAAATGTGGCGAGTGCTTTATTTTAACACGAGAGAGCGCATTCATGTACGCAAATCGCTAAAACAGATATGCGAGCTCCTAAATAGGCTTTTTTTCAAATGAACTGCAAGACCTCTCATGATCGCCTGTGTGCTCAGATTGAATATAATCGCGATCTCTCCACTATTAAAGTAGACATTATTTATCTTTGCTCCTTGACTAAATTTAGTCAAAAGTATTCAAAGTTATCAAGTATTTAGAATTAGATTGATGCATGATCGATGACAATGCTAATGGTCTTCTTGTTTGGCTGTGTTGTAAAGTGAAACTTACTTTTAGCAAAGGTGGAATTTATTTTTGTTTCTTTACGACAAAAGAATTATGCTGGAAATGTTTCTGGATGAGGTATTTGTGTGATTTATACATTTAGCTGTATTCTGATCTGTCTTAAAGAATTACAGGTCAAAACAATCCGTTGTTACTTGTTTATTTATCAAAATTAACAATAAGGCTCTTAAAGCACTGCTTTGATAAATGTATTGTTGTCACATTTTAAATACCTCAAGTAAAATGAAGCCATTTGTTTTATTTTTTTACTGACAGTGTACTTGTATTTTTTTTAAGTTTCTATTTTAGATTAAGATCAAGTGTAAAATAAAATCTACATGTGATGTACAGCTATTTAAGAAACAAATTTGCCATATTGTAAAGAAAAATAGTGTAACAAATGTAAATAAAAGGCTAAATTTAAATCTTTTTACCATATACTTTAATTTAACCTTTCAAAGCTTGAAAATATCGTTTAAAAAATGGACAAAAAGTGTCTCTATGGCCTTAAAGATTATGTGGTAGTTTTACCAATGCTTTTGAAAAATATTAATTGTCATGAAAGGAAAAAATTGACCATACTTCCTTTGTTAGTGCAAATTCCTATACATGTAGCTTTGGGATTTAAGCAATTAAACCATAAACCATTCAATCAGGTTTACACTTAAAAAAAGTGATTTCATAATGAAAATCTGATTTTTTTTTCAAAAGTAACCAACTAGTACTTTTTAAAAGAGTACTTTGTACTTTTACCTAATATTAGTATTATTTACTAAAATTTGTGTTATTTTAGCAGTGTAATAGTATTTTTACTTGAGTACAAAAAAGATATCACAAGCATTTAGTGCAGGTTTATTATATTAATAATATATGATTAATAAATATTATTATTAATGGTTTTTATTTGTATCTATTCCTATGCAATGTTTTATGGGTTGCTGAGAATACATTTCATGTCTTCAATACATAACATGTCAGTCTTGAAAAAAAAATTAGGTGCTGGAAAAAGTGCTTAAAATTCCTTGATTTTCATTAGGCTGTGCCTGTATGAACCCTGTCATATGTACATTTAACATATATTTCAAGATTTGTCTGAAAGTGTAGGAATATGACATATAGCCTATATTCATAAGGTCCAAGCAACATCTCCAGCTTTTGATGAATAGGCTACTGTGAATACTTTAGATTTAAGTACAGCAGTTTTCTTTTTACTTTTTAAGAACAGGTAATTTTTAATGAACTTTTAGAAGCACATTTTAACTAAAACTTTTTTTTTTATCTGCAAGCACAGTTAATGTTCAGACTATTAAAAATGTTTAAAGTGATTGACAATAATACATATTCTTAATAATAGGAATTAATTTGCATCATTTTAAACTGTGCACACCTGTAGCTGCTAATTAGGCCTACGACGCTATTTTTTAATACTGGTTAAAAAATAGCGTCGTAAGGTGGTACTTGGAGAGACAATTTTTTTCTAAGGTGGTACTTGGTGAAAAAAGTTTGAGAACCACTGATCTAGAACATCAAGAAAATCGTTGACTGCTTACCCAAATATAGTTGCTCAAAACTGAAATTAAAAAAGAAAAGTGAAAATGGTTAGCACCCAAGCTCTGCCTTTTCATATTAACATCAGTTTATCTAAAATGTGAATGCTTAAAAATGTTAATCAAAAAACTCTTTTAGATTTTGATCTTATTTTATGATGTATTATTTGCTGTTTTTGATGTTGTTGTCTTTTTATAAGTGCTGCTCTACAAATATCAATCACATGCAAATAATATGTTAATTTTTATTTTATTTTAAATTTAGATTTTAATTTTATTAATAATAATAAATGTTTGTTGAGACATAATATATGTGTGTGTGAATTATATAGATATATGCATTATGTATGTATGTGATATTCATAAAAACAAAACTACTATTAAACTAAGCAATTATGTTTCTTAGATATTATAGATTATCATTAAACTTAATATATTATATATATATATATTTTTTTTTAAATTATTATTATTATTATTATTATTAATGGTAATTGTACTAAAAGCAATGATGACTGGAATAATGTCTTTTTTTTCATTTAATAAATGCCGCCTTGATGAACAAAATAATTTTATTTTAATTATTGAATAAAATAATAATAATAAAAAAAACTGACCCCAAACTTTTGACCGGTTGTGTACATAATAAATATACACAGTACACACACGTATATTATGTCAAAACAAACTCGCAATTCATCCTTGCACAGCACTACTTTTTTATTGTTGTAAGCCTTTTTATTATAGAAAAATGTTGTTTATAAAAAGTAAATTTGTTTGATCTGTTTTACAACAAAATAGCTAGAGAAGTGGATATGGCAATAAACTCAAAGCTCTCTTTCTCTGTTCATCTATATTGGTATTGATAGCTTTTGCTGTTCTCTTGCAGGCACCATCACTTCCAGCAGTCCCACAGCACAGCCAGCAGAAGTGCTGCTTCAGGCCACACCTCCACATCGAAGGGCCCGATCTGCTGCTTGGTCTTACATATTCCTTCCTGAAGAGGCCTGGTGCGACCTCACCATCCACCTGCCCGCTGCTGTTTTGCTCAAGGAAATCCACATACAGCCGCACCTGGCATCCCTTGCCAGTGAGTGTACACACATGCACAATATTTGTGGTCCAAATCCTACATGACACAGCTGTATTATATTATATTTGCAGAGTATATGAAGCTTTGACCTATTGAAGTCTGCTCTCAAGGTTTTTAAATTAAATCAAATTACAATTTAAATTGCAAATAAAAAAATATTAAAAAATTATTTAATTAATAAATTTTTTTTAATTCAGTTCAAAAATTTAATTACATGTAAATAATAAATTAAAATTTAAATTACGGAATTAAATTAGTATTTTTTTATTTTGATATAACAATGCACGGTTACATTATTTGATATAACGGTATACATTATTTCAAAATAAATGTAATTGCAATTTTCTCAGCCATACAACTTTTCTATTTTAAAAATAATGCAAACACAATAATAAACATTATTATTATTATTATTCTATTTTTCTTATTCTTAAAATAATAATAAAAATATTAACATCAACAATTGTTTTAAACAGTTTTGAGAGGTTAGATATATACTTAGTCAAATTTTTTATTAAATAATGTTAAGTGCTGGTTTATGGTAGGTCAGAAGAAGAAGGACATTTGTTTTATTCCTCCGCGAAATCTGTCTGTAATGGCTTTTGCCCTGGAATCGGTTAAATTAGTATTTAATGCTACTCTTTCTTTTCCCTAGCATGTCCATCCTCGGTATCTGTGGAGATCAGCGCAGATGGTGTGAACATGCTTCCCTTGTCGACTCCAGTCATCACGAGTGGTCTCACCTACATCAAGTTCCAGCTGGTAAAGGCAGAGGTGGCGTCTGCTGTGTGTCTGAGGTTGCACCGGCCGCGGGACGCTAGCACTCTTGGCCTCTCGCAGATCAAACTACTGGGCTTGACTGCTTTCGGAAACACTTCCTCTGCCACTGTAAACAATCCATTCCTGCCCTCTGAGGACCAAGTCTCCAAAACCAGGTATCTGTGTTTTACCAATCGGTGTGTTGAGAAGTTTGATTTCTCATTTTAGACCCAAGTGTATAATAATAATTCAAATTTTTTGCCTGTTTTTTTCAGTATTGGCTGGTTACGGTTGCTGCACCATTGCTTGACTCACGTTTCTGATCTGGAGGCCATGATGGCCAGTGCTGCTGCTCCTACAGCAAACCTCCTGCAGACCTGCGCCGCCCTGCTCATGTCTCCGTACTGTGGCATGCACTCGCCCAACATTGAGGCTGTGCTGGTGAAGATCGGCCTGCAGTCCACACGCATAGGTCTTAAGCTCATCGACATATTACTGCGTAACTGCGCGGCTTCTGGAACGGACTTAGCCAGTAAGACCTAACCATCATTTTCATAATAATTTCTCCTCACTGCTGATTGTCCTCTATATTTGAATAATACATGACCCTGACTCTTGAGATTTCAGACTAGCTTTTTTCAGACTAGTTTGAATGTAGCAGGATTTTATTTTGCTTTTACTTTCAATTGCTGATTGGTGTTCTTTGTTGTAGATCTGAATAGTCCGTTACTCTTCGGGAGGTTAAACGGACTTTCCTCAGACTCTACTATAGACATTCTCTACCAGCTTGGCACCACTCAGGACCCCGGTACCAAAGACAGGTGTGTTCTCTTTTATTATGGAAAATGATATCACAATACTTGCTTATTGCATAAATTGTTTGTAGCCTGTTCTACAACTATCTTTAGACTGATTTGTTTGTTCACTGTATCAGGGCATCTGAAATCCTGGGCATTCAATCATTCATCTATTTTTTTTATTCATTCATCCTTTCTTTTGTTCATTCATTCATTTATGCTCCTATTTACTCATTGACTTCATTCAATAATTCTCCCATTTACTCATTGGTTGATTGATTGATTGATCCACCCATCCATCCATCTATTCATCCGTCCATCCATCCATCCATCCATCCATCCATCCATCCATCCATCCATCCATCCATTCATTCATTCATTCAATCAATCGTGCTCCTATTTACTCATTGGTTGATTGGTTGATCGATTGCTTGATTAATTGATTCATTCATCCATTAATTTATCTACCCATTCTTTCATTCATTCATTTATGCTTTCATTCATTATATATCCCATTCATTTACGCAATCATTCATTTATTCTCCCATTTACTCATTGATTAATTTATTGATTGATTGATTGATTCATTCATTCATTGTTTAGTTTATCCATTCATTAATCCATTCATCCATTCATTCATTATTTTTCCCATTCATTTACTTAATCATTCATGCTACTATTCACTCATTGACTTCATTCATTCATTCATTCATTCTCACATTTACTTGTTGATTGATTGATTCAACCCTTTATTCATCCATCCATCCATCCATTCTTTCGTTCATTCATTCATTCATTCATTCATTCATTATTTCTCCCATTCATTTACTCATTCATTCATGCTCCTATTTACTCATTGGTTGATTGATTCTATTTCTTATAGTATTGAAACTCATTTACACCAAATAGGAAAACAAGTAATGGTTCGGTAAATCATAATTCTGACAGTCATAACTGGCCTAAGTTCAAATAGATATGACTAAAATTCACCTCTTGTCTGTAATTATTACTCATAGTTTTACTTCACTGTTGACTTTAATCACAATTATGATTTTCAATATCGTCATTATGACTAATTTAATCATTTGAAGCTGTCATTGATCTGAATTAGCCTTCTATGTATTTTACATTTCTCAATTCAAAGAATAAAATAGTAGAGAGCATTCTGAATTATTTAGTTTTATTGCTCAACAAGAATCTACGCATTTAGCTGCTATGGCCATCATAAAAGTGTCTTTTCATTATTACACAATATAACAAAAGCTATATCAAACATTCTACAAAATGCACTTTATTGTATTCTTATGGGTTTGAGTTTATGCAGTTTTTAATTATTTACTATCGATTACTGATATTTTGGTTCTGTTTTTGTTTGTACTGTAGGATCCAGGCTCTGCTCCAGTGGGTGTATGATTCCTCCCGGGTTGCTTCCCTGAAGCAGAGCTCTCCATCAGGCTACGTTGGCCCAATCGCTCCGCCCCCTCGGGAATATGGCTTGCTCATGCCCTCCCCATCACACCTGCACTGTGTGGCATCCGTCTTGTGGCACAGTTATGAGCTGCCTGTGGACTACGACTTGCCCGGCCTACTCAACAGAGAGCTTTTTGAGTGAGTCTGCACAGATAAGCACACTATTTTTTTTGCAGTCGCGCAGAACAAAATGTTCAAGTAAGAGTTGTGGATGAGTGCTTGTTTATGCCTGAGGTAAGTTTTTAGTGCTCCGCATCTAGAAAAAACGCTGAGGGTGTATATTGAGCTTGTTCTCTTCATCCTCTCTTCAGGTATGAATACTTTATAGGTACAGAGTAGAACAAAGTGAAACAACCTTCGCCATGTACACGGAGCAAATAAAACACCGGCAGCCGTTAATACTAACAGTTCTGAGCATAAGTTAAACATGAGGATGTTTTTTAGGCCACCTGAACTATTAATTCTCTTCAATGTCTTGCAGGTTGTTGTACAACTGGTCCATGTCTTTGCCCTCTAACATGGTTTTAAAGAAGGCTGTGGACAGCTTGCTTTGTTCCATGTGCCACATCCACCCCAATTACTTCTCTCTTCTCATGTCCTGGATGGGTATCGTGGCGCCCTCGTCTGCCCAGACCAACGCGCAGCGCCGGATGGCCATGACCGACGACGGCAAGAAGCAGCATGACTTAAACAGCGCCGCCTCCCTCACCGATGACTCCAAACATGCTCGAACACCAGTAACCGTGCCCATCTCCCTCTCAGAGTGCCAGCTGGTGACCCTTGCAGCTGCATCCCAGTCTCCTGGTGCCATTCAGCAGCTGTTAGACTCCGGTCTGCCTTCCTTGCTGGTGCGTAGCTTGGCTGACCTTTGCTGCAACCTGTTGGTCAGCGCGGATCTTCCTTTACCTTCAGGATTCTCCTCACAGACCGAGAGACGGCCGTATTCACATAACCAACACTCACCTTCCTCCACCAACAGGCCGCCTTTGTCTCCTGAGCTCGCGGCTCCGGTTTTGCGCTTTCTTACAGAAGTAGGAAACAGTCACACCATGAAGGACTGGCTGGGTGGCCCGGAGGTAAACCCGCTCTGGACGGCGCTGTTGTTTCTTCTGTGCCACTCGAGTGCTAGTGGGACTGCTAACGCTAATGCAAACAGCAGCAGCAGCAGTGTTTGTGGGCATGGAGCATCGCCCAGCACTTCACACGCCAGCGCTGCACCTCACACATCAGGTGCGTCATACTCACTGGCGTCATCAAGCCGCAGTAGTGGACTCACCACACAGCAGAGGACCGCCATCGAGAATGCCACAGTGGCTTTCTTCCTGCAGTGCATCTCCTGCCATCCAAACAACCAGAGGCTCATGGCACAGGTGTGTTTGGAAGGTTTTTTTTTGATTTAGCAAAAAAAGAAGTAGATATAATAAAAAGATAACATTCCTGTATGCATAAAAATGTAATTAAATGCAAAAAGATATATATAAATATATATATATATATATATATATATATATATATATATATATATATATATATATATATATATATATATATATATATATACACACACACACACACACACACACACACACACACACACATTTTTTTTGCATTTAATTAAACCTAATTAACCAAGTTAAGCCTTTAAATGTCACTTTAAGCTGTATAGAAGTGTCTTGAAAAATATCTAGTCAAATTAGTCGAATATTATTTACTGTCATCATGGCAAAAATAGAAGAAATCAGTTATTAAAAATTAGTTATATAATCTATTAGGTTTAGAAATGTATTAAAAAAAATAATTCACAGGCTAATAAATTTTTTTTTTAACTGATATACACATTGTTTTCACACACATTTCAACGAAGTCTGTTTTCAAAATTAAGTATTCTGTATTTGTCGTTGTAAAGGTTCTGTGTGAGTTGTTCCAGTCAGCTCCTCAGCGGGGGAACGTTCCAGTCTCAGGGAACATCTCTGGATTTATACGTCGACTATTTCTACAACTCATGCTCGAAGATGAGAAAGTTACTGTCTTCCTTCAGTCTCCCTGTCCGGTAGGAGCTCACACTTTCACAAACATATGCTTTGAAAATCCACCTAAGCTGAAACAATGCTCTCCAGAGCTGTTCTTTTATTTTATATAGAAGCTGTTTTGCTTGGTTAGTCTGTTAAATGATTTATTGCAGTTGCTGTAAAGCTCCGAAAAGCCTCTTCACTCACAGGGAAAATTACCCTGACCTTTACATCATCTCAGAGGGATTTAAACCTCCATTGCCTCTGAACTGCAGCTCTTTTCAAGGCAAATCACGCTATTGCTGACCACCAGAGGGCAGCTGCTTTCTCAAATTCTCATCATTTATGCAGAAGCTAGTAGTTTAACTGAAGAAAATGGCTTGTTTTGTGGAAAATGGAGAGTGTAAAACTATTTTGGTGGGAGGAGTGTCGGGGAAATTCAGTTTTGCAATTGGTGTGGCAATTACACACTTCACCTTTCACATAATCTAAATGTTAGAGGACATAACGGCTCACCCGTTAGACAACACATAGAGTTATGCCTCTCCTCTGTCTGCCAAACTGGAATGAAGCCAAATCGTAAAGACGTAAGATGTCTTTTTTTAGCCGGAGAGTCGTTCAGCAGGTCGTTCCTTTGGTAAATTACCGTTGGACTGTGTGTGTTTCAGCTTAGATTAATCATCTGGCTTTCACAGAGAGTCCAGACAGAGGAGCTCTTAAAAGTTAATGTTTACACATTAGATCAAGTCAGAGAGCCGGGCGATCGGGGGTGTCCTCTCAAAGGCATGGATGTCATTTTTCCCTTTCAGACAGACCTTTACCTCCACCTTCAAGAGGGATGAGTCTTGCCTTTGTGGATAGGGGAAAGCTTTTGAGATGCTTATTGTTGTTTTATGTTATGATTAGTGATGAGCAACGATTACATCTTTTAATTGCAATTTATCAAGGGATTTTTTTTGTGATGTAATTATATTATATACAGTACAAAACTCAACAATGACTTCTAAAGTAGTGTCTTGTGCACTTTTATTGTAAAAGTTCTGGTATGTGAAAAAGTGCAGTAGTACTTTAAACAGCTGAGGTGTTTTTATAACCTTTACTTATTAAGAGTAAAATATCTTGCACATTTTTACTTTAATGTAATTAAATTAAATCTAAAACCAAATCTGTTTGTCGCTGACAGGTCATTTAGTGATAATTGAGTGATCATCGTTACATCTGTGCTTTTTAGCTCCTGTCGTTTCACCACACTGTTCTGATAACCAGCTTGATAGATGACAGCTTTATGCAGGAACTATTGCACACTGAATCTGATATTTTCATCCGTAATTTCCGTGCGTTAAAAATAAATTCAACCTCATGTTGTGTGATTCGTGTTGACACACTGCCTCCAAAACTTCTTCTATTTTGGAGGAGAGAGAGGAAAGCAAAGTAACACTGCTTGAACTGACTCTAAATTTTTTTACGTTTTTTCCTAATGGATTCATTAATGTGCAATGGGCCCAGTGTGCAAGGTTTTTTATGTGACAAATTTTTCGCATATGAATATGAGAAAAAAAAGGCGTACAAACATTTTGAACTTCAGAGTGGAAGGAAGTTTAAATGGTCAATACACAGTGTTCACTAATCCCTACTAACCTGAGCACAGGAAATCTTAACTTCACTTCAGGATGTTCATTCGCAGATTTCCACAGTGCCTGCCGTGTAAATACAGGGTAATTCTAAAAGAATACCACAACTTTGAAAATCTAATATTTGATCAAAGAAACATGATGGAACCTTGGGTAATTAATCAATGTGAAGAGCACTTAAAGTTTTTTTCAGTAGAAAACAAGTTCATAGATGTTCAACATGACCTCAGTCAGAAGTAATTCAACTCGAGAGGAAATTTAGCTTGAAGTGAAAAACATCCCAAGAGGAAACTGGAGCCAGTGCTTTGATTGGTGTGAACCCAATATAAGTCCAATTCCAAATATTCTCCTTGGTTGAGAAGCATCCCACCACTCTTGTGATCCATTGTGTGTGTGGATTCAGACTAGGCTTGGGCGGTATCCAAATTTTGATACCGTCAAACCGCCTCCATATTTTACCCCGGTTTCCGGTATTACCGGCGTAATAAAAAAATTATGACGTAAGGCTCAGACAGCGTCACCAAACTGTTGGCTTGAGCCTAAACCATTCAGAAACTGAATACATTCTATGCGACCTTAGGCTCGCGGTCAGAGAGAGAGAGAGAGAGAGAGAGAGAGAGAGAGAGAGAGAGGCGACGCACAGCACCCCTCTCTCTCTCTCTCTCTCTCTCTCTCTCTCTCACACACACACACACACACACACACACACACATACACACACACACATCTCTCCCGCGATTTATTCAGAAATTTACTCCCACACCATAAGAAATCTGGCCGGCTCCCGCGGTACTGCAGCGGGAATGCAGAGCTGTAATCGGGCCATAAAAATTATACCCGATAGGTCCCGAGTCCGACAGGTACAGTTTGATTGACAGCTTTATAAAGCCCAAACCCATTTACAGCCCGACATTATTCAAATGTGCTCATGCACACAGCTCTATTGCATTTTTTCAAGAATGAGTCATTTATATGTTTTAACATCATTTATTCGTAACAAACGTAGACTAGGCTATATGCCACTTAAAAGTTGGAACAAAGAAATAAAGTAAGTCCTCTGTAACATCGTAACATATCAGCACTCTATAGGTCTAGGTACATGCACTTAGACTTTATATTGGCCAACACACAAATGAAAAAAAATCTTTCTTAACAAATCAAATTAAAATAAACTCTAAATGATGACGGGTATTTTGGCAATAACGAAATTAAGGTAAAGGCTCTGCAAGATGTGTTTCTCCACTTCTCTTCACAATCTGGCATTAAGGCGGCGGTGAAGCTGAATAATAAAAGAATAATGCCACCATTAGCCTGTATACTCTGTCTACATTATGATTATATGGTTTAATTAATATTTATTTATAATTAAAAAACCCTTTACTCACCAAGATTAGGCTACGTGTGTTTGTGGAGGAACATTTAAATCCACAGGCTTAGCGCAGTCCTGCGCTCACGGGGTCCAGCAGCTGAACACCTTTTCCTGCGGCTACAGGTCGAGATGCAGAGTTCTGATCTGGCTGATTTTGCAAGTTTTGGGTTGGATTGTTTGTTCATCTTCTACCAGTCAGGAACATCCATTTAATTTTCCATGACAGCAGTTTCACTTTAGCGAATGGCCTCTTCTTTTTGTCTGTCAGCTTGCGGTTTAGGGCTCTACCGTAATACGCAGTGTATGAGCGACCGCGAAATACCTGCGGCTGGAATGCGCTCTTTCTGAGTGACTGGCTTGACCGCCGTAATAATTCGCTTTTTTTACTACTTCATCATCATTTGTTTCACCTTTGCAGGGATGGATTTTAATGCAGGGATTTGGATTTTTTCGGGTCTTGCCGGGTTCGGGCAAAGATCTTCAGCTCTAATGCAGACCTCTCGTTACTATTAACCACGTCTCCCTTCTGTTCAGTCGAAACCGTAAATACTGCCAAACTGCAGGACACTTTGAAGCGCGACATGTCACGTCACCTCTCCCCCTCCCTCTCCCTCTTCCTCTCTCTCTCTCCTCCACACTGTCCCATGATGACAATCACACATATGTTTTTGTAGGCATTAAATAAAGGATATTTATATTTTATAACGGTATTGAAACTGACACCGTTGCTATTTTTAGATCCCGCGGTATACCATAATACCGAAATACCGCCCAAGCCTAATTCAGACCCAGTGAGGACTTTATAAATAATTCAAATATTCATTTTATAATCATCACTTTTTAGTTGACGCAAGCAGAGCTTTAAAATTCCATTGCTTTCAAATTTTGTTGAATAGCACTCAGTTTGTTTCCCCCACAGCTGTAGTATTTTCTATTGACATTTAAATCAATTTCTAAAACATGAATAAAAGACAAGGTCTTTGTTCATGATTAAGGATTATATATCATTTCTTTGAGTCATTTTGTTCTTTTGGTCATTAGTTTATTGAACTAGAGATTAAGTATTTAAAATGATTCCATATGTGTATTATGACAACGGTTCCCAACAGGGGGGTCCCGGCCCACAAGGGGACCTCAGCGACCTCTGTTGGGGGTTGCGTCATATTTTAAAAAGTTTTTAACAGTGGACAATAAGGAGAACGATTATGTTGCCTTAGTTCATTTTGTGATTTGTCTTGAGCAGTTATACTGGACCCAGGTGAGGAAGCTCCAAACATTTCAGGTCTCAGCACTAGCAATACTGGAAACATGAAATGCAGGATAGTTACCTGAACTATGGTTTTATTCCATTTTCTCGAAGCAGAGTCGCTAACCCAGCCACAGTGTGTTATCTGCAGCAAGTTCTTGCTAACAAATGCATGAGGCATCCAATTAAGCGTTTCCAGTCGACTCATCCCAAATACCGCAAGGTGTACCAATTAAAAATGGCCTACTGATGTTTTGCTTTTATATTTTTATATTAGGCTATTATTTGTGCATAAGTATATCTAGATAAAGTAATAAACATACAGTTCGTTTGAATAATTTTATAATACCTACTGCCAACTTATGAGTGATATCATCATTAGATGTGGAGGGGGGCCTTAAAATATTTTTATGGGGAAATGGGGGGTCTCAGGCAAAAAAGGTTGGGAACCACTGTATTATGAGACATTAAAAATATCATAATAAGGACACTAAGATATATGTTGAAGTGCAATATCATCCTAATGCACCTTTTTACTGTATAATAGGTTTGCACACTGCTAAGGTGACCCGTCGCTGTTTTTCTTTTGCTCTGCCTCAGCTTTATAAAGGGCGCATTAATGCCACAAGTCATGTGATCCAGCACCCCATGTATGGAGCAGGGCACAAGTTTCGCAAACTGCATCTGCCCATCTCAACTACACTATCAGAAGTATTGGACCGAGTCTCAGGTATGGATACACTGCTATTCAAAAGGTTTGGTTAGTAAAGCTTTTATTTTTAAATAAGGTATCATAAAGCAATTCAGTTGATCAAAAATGACTGTAAAGACATTTATAACATTTATAGACGTTAATATTTGTAAATAAACAATGATTTGATCTTTTATCTTGAAAACAAAAAGGTTTTACACTTATTAATTCACGGTTTTCAGCACTGATAATGTGAATTGTTTCCTGAGTACAAAATCCACACCAATGTTTTTTTTTAATCAAATAAAAACAAATTTATTTGATTTATTAAAAAAATAATTGTAGACAATTGATTTAACATTTTTAGTACCATTAAGATCATTCACATTAGCCATTTAATTCACAAAACATTTTCCCTTGATCAGGTTGAATGAATTTCCATCAGTCATACAGTGAGCTAGTTTTGCATGGAGCCTGCAGTAGTCTATCAGATCTATTAGATTCAGCTTTTGCTACATCTTCAGACTTTCAAGGTCTGATGCACAAAGCATGTAGGGCTAAAACTGTCATGTGGCATGGTCATCAGCATGTGTGTGTGATGAATTGCTTGTCGCTTGAGACCTTGAGTGTGGCAGATATAGTCTTAGTTTCCTCTGAAGACTTCAAGATATACCGTACATAAGTTGTCTTGTCTCGGAGCTGTTCTCGTGCTTGCATCACTTCCATAGATGGAAGACCCTCATAGGAAGCACAGCAGGTCGTTATCGTTATGGATTGCTGTTTCTTCATGGGCATATTACATCTTTACTTTCAGATATTCAGATTATCAGTTAAAATGACATGTTGTTCGTTGCATATGTCTCTAAAGGGAAATGTATTTTTCGAGCCTGCAGGCTGACTGCACACGTACTGTGAGATAACTTGGTATTTTTTAACCCTTTAGATACACCTAGCATCACAGCAAAACTGATCAATGAACAAAAGGAGGATAAAGAGAAGAAAAACCATGAGGAAAAGGAAAAGATGAAAGCTGATAATGGTTTCCAAGACAACTACAGTGTCGTTGTTGCCTCAGGTACTGTTTAACCCTGCATTGAATCACTGAAAATCACCCTGCATTGCATCACTGAAAGTTTCCTATCACTGCATGCCGTTAACAAGAATATGGAAAAATACTAACAGCCGACTAGTGCAACCATCTAACAACCATCCACGAACTACTTAAAAAAAAACTCAAGCATTATAACACTGTGCCAGCCACCTGAAACAACTTAGCAACCAGATAACAACCAACAAGATTCCGCTTTCATCGTCTTACAGCAACCCTTGCCACCTATAAAAAACCCAAAACAAATGAACCCAAAATTCATTTAGAGATATCTCTAATTACAATTATGACTAGTCAAAACTCATTTAGAGATATCTGCAAATATTTTTCAATGGAAGTCAATGGAGGAATATGACTAGTCATAATATATTTGCAGATATCTCCAATCTGATTTCGTACTAGTACAATTGTAATTGCAGATATCTCTAATTGTCATTCTGACTAGTCAAATTATAATTATGACTAGTCAAAATATAATTAGAGATATCTCTAAATATATTTATGGATAGTCAAAACAAAGGTTTAAATGCTAAAACGGCTTGCCATAAGCTTTTGTAATTATTGATCTAGTTGGATCAGGTTGCAGCTCATTTTCATGTTGTGTTCCAGGTCTGAAGTCTCAGTCGAAGAGGGCCTTGTCCACTCCTCCACGTCCTCCATCCCGACGAGGGCGTGTCCTTAGTGACAAGCTGGCAGCTTCCTCAGGAGTTGATCCGTCTGCCAAAACCATCAGCGTGCCTGTCTTCCACCTCTGTCACAAACTACTGCCGGGTACAAACACGCACTCTTGTTCTGTCACGCGTTCACATTCTGTCTGCTCCTCTCGCCCACTCTGTACTCTTTTGCGTTCCTCACCGCGCTCCTCCATACAGATGAGGAAGAGCATTGAGGTCACCCCGGTGCCTGTCCCCATCTGCCTGGCACTTCACCTCACTGCATTTATTCAGAGAAGCAGAGAGTCTGATGATGCATGTCAATTTCAAAGCTTCCTTCTATGTCTTATCTTGTCCCCTTTTAAGTGTCGTTCAGTATTTGAAGTGTGTAATTTCTGATCCGCCATGCTGAATGGAAAAAAGGTTTTTACACAGTTGTACACTTTCTCATCTGCCATTTTGTTTTTGCATTTGATTCAGTGAAAAGAATCAGAACCTATCATTTAGATCAGTGTTTCTCAACCATGTTCCTGGAGGACCACCAGCTCTGCACATTTTCCATGTCTCCTCATCCAAACACACCTGATTTAGATCATCAGCTCATTAGCAGAGACTAAAAGAGCTGTAGCTGGTGTGACAAACAAAAGAGACAACCAAAACATGCAGTGTTGGTGGTTCTCCAGGAACATGGTTGAGAAACACTGATTTTCTGAGTTTCATATATTTTTTAAAACTCAATAGAGAATAGAAAAAGAAACTGGTAGCCATTGATGCGTACAGTGGGAATTGAAAATATTATGGAAGTTGATGGTTTCCAGTTCTTTAGAATATTATCTTTTTTTTAAGCTCATTAAGGGTTGGAATCACTTCCAGGGTGAGAAAATGGCGAGAAAAAATTCTTTATTACAAAATTTGTAAATGCTTGTTATTAGCGACACCAGTGGGTGTTAAGTGAACTGCGGTGGGGCAGCAACACACTTGCAGACACTTAAGGTTGGTTTATACTTCTGCGTCAATCGCATGCATATGGTCTGGCGCAGCCTTTGCGTGGTTGCATAGCCCTCACTGTGGCTGACGCAGATGCTGACACGCACCCCTCGAGAAATGTAACTACACGTTGCAACAACGCATCGCGCAAGCTCTTACATTGGTCAGCTTGGTAGCTGTGATGAGTGTGGGTGGTGCTGTAGCCGCGAGCGAGTGTTTACAAGTGTCGAGTCCTGTAAAGTAGCTCCAGATGGAAACTTTTGTTTTGTGTTTATCTTATGAATAATGTTGCTGCATGTCCGCTAGTTCCTGCCTCTGAATAAGCAAGTTTTAGCTACTTGTACGTTTAAGGTAGAGTAAAAAAAAAAAAAAAAAAAAACCCGCGAAGAAACCAGACTCAAAGGAACATAAAAACCTACTACCAGCTAGTGTTTTGAAAGTGTTATTGCAGAACAACACAAACAGTGCACAGAAATCTAAATGCATGGCTTCGTGAAAGGCAGGTGGCTTGGGTCATTGCGATCACTCAATGCAGAAATATAAACCAGCTTCTAGCATGCAGTAAAATTCAGTTCAATTCACCTTTATTTGTATAGCGCTTTTACAATGCAAATTGTGTCAAAACAGCTTCACAAAGAAGATCATAGTAAATTGAAACAGTGTAGTTCAGTTTAATGTAATTCAGTGATTCTGATATTGTTTTAAAGCAATTTTTCATTATTTTATTAGTAGACAAAATATATTGTATACACCTTTGCAGCAGTATTGACCTTATTCTTGACATACGAGCAGGCACAGCCATTAGAATCTTTTTGGCTTCCAATCTCATTCACTTTGATTAATTTTCATACATTAAAAACAGGTTGTTATGCCGCTCAACAATGCAAATGGACATTTTCTTATTATATTGTTCTACTTTTTATAGTTATGAACAGACTTGTTTATAGAGCAAGTAGTTTGACCGTTTTCTACTGTTTATTATTCCTAGTCATTTCTCTCATAGAAAACTGAAAAAAAAACTTTAAAACATCCAAAAGCTGTCCAAACTTTTGATAGAAAGGTTTAAAAGAATTTTTAAATATGTGTTGCTTGCTTTCCTCCCAATAAAGAAAAATCAGCAGTTAAGAAAACATCACAAATTAAAATGGATTTGCACAATCTCTGATCACTGACATGTCTAGAGATAAGCTAGTTAAAATTGCTAGTTTGATTATAAAGTATATTTAAGACTATAGATCTATATTTTAGACTCTATAGATCTGAATGTTTACAGTAATACCATTGTTTGAATTTGTTCCTTTTCTGTGAGACACATAAAATGGCTAGTGCAGTGTTCTATAATCGTTTGCAGAATAGAGCAAGCAAGTGCAAATGTCAAATCTTTTTATTATTCCCTACAAAAACATTCTGATTTTGCTCCATGCAAATCATTTAGGCTTCGTTATAAGCTTTGCACTCAGTGGCAGTAGAAAAAGTGATTAATACATGAAAATACTTTAGTTCAGTACCTCTTTTAATATAGCCTCAAACCTTTTTCCCTCCAGGTCAGCCGTTGCCACCGGAGATGACCTTGGCCCAGCTGCTGACTCTGCTGTATGAGCGTAAACTTCCTCAGGGATACCGCTCCATTGACCTGACCGTCAAACTGGGGTCAAAGATCATCTCAGATCCTGGCCTCTCCAAGACTGACTCCTTCAAACGGCTCCGCACTGAGAAAGGTATGCAGACGTCTCATATGCAAATACATCAGAAGATTTTGTCATAAACAAGGTTGTCATAGTTAACTGCTAAAATATAAATATTAGAACTGTTCAAAATGTGTTTAGATTAATTTATGAATGTTTCAGTTACTAATTGTGAATCTCCTAATTCTTAAACTGAAAATCATTTTTAAGAACCTGCGCATAAGAATCAGCAGTCTGCACATGAAATCACACTATTCTTGCTATGTGTTTTAGATCCTCCAGAAAGAACAGACTCGCAAGAATCATTCATTATTTCATCAGAAATTGATTTCATGCCACTTTGCTGTGATACTCAGTCTGTGCTCTTATCCAAAAGTTTGTAGCTTCCCTCTGCCACACACGTTTTCTGCCAGCCCTGGGAAAACCGCCTGATTGGCCGTCTGTGTTGTTGTGGTTGCGCAGATATTTCCCCTGTTGTGTCCTGAATCTTCAGATGTCAAATGATTTTGCTTTGCTCTGTCAATGATGTGTTCACACTTTCTGAAGGAGACAAAACAAACCCACACTGTCCAGACAATGACAGCTGGCTTCCCATTGGATAGCCAATGCTCTTGATTGATTTGGCCCTGTTGGGGTGAGGCAGTGTTCATACACGCATACATAGAGTTCCTGCTGATGATGTCAGCTCAGGTGAATCTGCTAACACAGAGGGCTGGATGTCACGGGTGTCAGTAAAGTGTCCCGCTAGTATCCTAATCAGCCACAACAAAATGTCAAGTGATTAAATCCCACTTCTCTGGGGTTAATCAGCAGTCTTATCGGCAAAAATCAGTAATGTTGACTACTCAGTTTGTTACAACCAGTACAATTTATCTTCTCACTAAACTTCAGAATTTAGTGCATCCACTTTTAAAAAGTTTTTACTAATTATTTTCAGTGGTAATGTCATAGTTGCTGTTAATAGTACAGTAGGTTAAATATTTTGGTATAAGGACCAAAATCTGTAAAGAAATTCAATTCATGTTTATTTCTATCGCACATATATTATATAGATTGTGTCAAAGCAGCTTAACATAGAAGTTCTAGTAAATTTAAACTGTGTCACTCCAGTTTAGAGAGTTTAGGTTCAGTTTAGTTCAGTTCAGTGTGGTTTAATTTTCACTGCTGAAAGTCCAAACACTGAGGAGCAAATACATCGATGCGCAGCTCAACAAGTTCCAAACCAAGCAAGTGGTGAGGAACAAAACTTCCCCAATTGAAGAAAAAACCTCGAGAGAAACTAGGCTCAGTTGGGAACGACCATTTCTCCTCTGGCCAAACTTCTTGTGCTGAGCTGCAGTTTAGGCACTGGAGGCTGGAGAACAATGGAAATGTTTTCATCACCTAATGTAATCTATGCCACAAATAATGTGGTATATCCACAGAGACTTTTAATTTCCAATAAGCCAGTTTAAAGCTTTTGGTGAACTCTCTTGCCATTATAAAATCGCCTAGTTTAAGATCTGGTTTCTATAAAAACGATCATCATCACTGCCTAATTGCTATGAAATGGGTGTCAGACCAGACAAGAAGCACGACGTTAAATTCCATTGTTCTGAGCCATGTCTTTAGAACATGAACATTTCTTTTATCGCAGTATTTTCTATGGAGTTTCAGCACTTACCCACCGCTCCAGACAGCACTTGCTTTTAAACGACCTTTCATATTATTTTATGCTTGAACAACCAAATGACTAAGTCTATTTAACAGATTATATTTGAATTAAATTACATTTTTAATGCAGTTAAAGGAACCTTATGAAATTAAAAACTTTTCACAGGAAGTTTATTGATGGCTGAAATACCTTTGCCGTGCATATAGCCCATTAAAGCAGTTCTCGCAGTAGTAAGGTGTACCTTAAAAAGTAGTTGTTTGCTGCCAACTTGCAAGTATAAAGTTGCAACATGCAGATCCAGACTAGAAACATTGACTACATTTACATGGACATCAAAAAATCGAATTATTGGCCTTAATCTGAATAAGACAGTAATAAGACTAAGGTGTTTACATGAGTTGCTTTTTAAATGTTTCTTTCATGATTTCGTTTTACATGTTATAGCACATAATTCTATTAACGCCATTGCTTTACCACGCTATCCACATTTACTCCGGAGTTTCATGTCATTTCAGGTGTTTAATTTTTAATTTGTCCACTTGAACTGCAGTTTGGTACTTTCATTCAGGAACATTTCATGCATGCCCTTCCCTGACAAACGAGATATTGGATGCGAGTATGAACTGCTGAAAGAGTGTTGTTTAATGGAATTTGAAATTGCACGCTGTATAAGAGTAAAAAAACCTCCGCATTTTGCAATCCAGGTGTCTGTGGTCCTTCACTGACTCGGTTGGTGTGGAGAATAGTGTTGAACAGCCATTTGTGAATAGACTATCCTGTCGCAAAATGCAGCAAAATTCTACACGATGGTAATAATTTAATTTAGGTGTTTGCATGTCTGTAATGCGCTTCAATAATGTGACTAAAATCAGCACACTCTACATGTCTCAATCCGAATTCTGTTGAGTCTGATTATGATCTTAATTTGATCTAATTAATCAAAAATCACTGTTTAGATGTTAGACTCTTAATCAGAGTATTGTGTTAATCGTATTAAATTCAGATTGTTGGTGTCCATGTAAACATACTCAGTGTTGCAGTCTTGCACCTTTGGAGAGTAACAAAAGTTGATTTGACACTGCAGTGTTGCCACGCTGTGTCATGGTGTCTTACGAACTGAACCATGAACTCTCAAACTGTTGAATTTTCATCTGGTGATGGAGAGCTGGCAGCATTCGTTAACTTTGCTCCCTTAGCTATTCTGAGCAAGCTGCGTTCGCTTGTTTGTTTGGCTCAGTAAGGAGTCTTGGAGCAGCCCTTGTTCGATGGCACCCGTCGTGTCTGGCATCAGAATTGTTCAGTTTAGTGATGGTGCCTGAGGGACTCACCCCACCCTTTGGCTAGTTGGCTATCTTAGCTGTGTCAAATCACTGCTGGCGTGCTAAACTCTGCTTCTTTTTACGCACTCTTTCATCTCGCACCCCTCCGTTGAGCAGTTGAAAAAGATGCTCACCAGCCAGGATAATTCTCTCCTCTCTGCTTGGAGTCTGTCCATCTCTCTGTGGAAGACACTCCAACCACAGGTGGTGCTCTGAAGCGTTGCCGCTTGTTACAGTGATGTGCTATCAACCTGTTGGCAACTAGTTTGTTCCTGGACATGGGCTTCTGGCTTGCAAAGTAGATCTGATACTTGCTTCAAAACGAGGATCAAATACAGACTATAGCAGTTGTTTTGGGAGTGCAGTTTCTTTGTTTATCTCTCCAGCAAGACCTTTTGGCTTCGAGTTTTACGTTCTTCCACTGATCTTTTCCTTTCTTTGTACTGATCTCAACATCAAAGACACAAAGATCTCTGATGCTAAACCAACCAACTGTAATAATAATTTGAAGAAAAAAAATTCACCATTGCCTAGAGCAGGGGTCTCAAACTCAATTTACCTGGGGGCCGCAGGAGGCAAAGTCTGGGTGAGGCTGGGCCACATAAGGGATTTCACAAAAAAAGTCCTCAAATGTCATTATTAACAGTTTTAATTATTTCTTCTGAACATGAAGTGTCCTGAACATTAATAGAACATTGAGTGAAGATTATGAACAGTTCTTCTGAACATGGCATCTTTTGCCTACTCTTTGCTGCCAGAGACTTGACAGCGCTTCTTCTCACAAATCTGAACCACATTTGGCTTTAGAGCAGAAGCAGTTGAGACCCTCAGTATGGCTTGAAGATGATCATCATTAAGTCTAGACCTGTACTTTGACTTATTGAAGTCCTAGGGAAAAAAGTGGGGGAACTCACTCAAAACTTCCATTCCCTCACCTAAAAAAAAAGACGTATATATGTATAAATAAAACACCCCCACCCCACTCCAGTCACATCAGTCTGTACCAGTCTGTATCTACCTATAATATATATAAGATGCAGGGCAGGCACGTGCACACATAGGGCTCAACCTGTGCAGACAGAGCACATGCCCTTTTTAGTTTTGCATAGAAAGTGCCCTTCCAAAATGATCAAAAGTGCCCCGGCGACGCGACAGACCTTCGGTCCCGCCCTTCAGTAGGCGCGCGATAACACCGCTCTTCAGTACGCGCGCGACAACACAGCTGATCAGAACGCGCGCGACAACGCCCCTCCACACTTCCCGCCCGCCACAGCGTCTAACAAAGGAGCAGGGTGCGTGGTGACGTCACCGGCATCCTCGCCCCTTTGTTTACACGGCGGGCGGGGAATGCCAGTGACTGCTGTGTACGGATAGAATCAGCAGAGCGGGAAGCGCTCTCTCTCCCCGCTCCGCTGATTCTGTCAGTGTACAGCGGTCGGCGCGGGCCACAAAATATTGCACTGAGGGCCGCAAATGGCCCGCGGGCCGCGAGTTTGAGACCCCTGGCCTAGAGCTTCAATCAAGTCATTTGTAAATATTTGTCTCCTCCCAGTCCACACTTTTTTTTGTAATTGGCCTTCATAAAGCAGTGCTGAACAGACTAACATCTACGAGAAGTTTTATTTAAATGACAATACAGCTGATAGCACAAAGTTCCAGTAGAATTTTTTTTAAATATATATACTTTTTAAGGATTTTTATACCTTTGGGAGTATAGACAATTTCGGATGCCGAAATTTGATTCTGCAGGCCCAGTGTCCTGCAGAGTTACTTAACACACCTGTTTGGAAGTTTCTAGTACACTTAATAAAAGTTTGATTAGCTAATTCAGGAAGAACGGTAAAAACAGATGTCAGAGCCTGCTTCAGTTGGGCTGGTTAGCTCTGAGTGGCTGGGACTTGATTTTTAAGTTGGCTGTACACACCTCCTGGAGTTGTCATTTATTTAATGTCTTGTACATGACACAGTTTAATCTTTTGTGTTTTATGATTGTCTAAAACTACCCCAAACCTAAATGCCTTATTTACATAAATACTTATGTATAAATAAATGTTTATTATTAACCTTTCTATAAACAGAATTTGATTATAGCTGCAGATGAATGATTATGCGAAAAAGCCTACTGTACCGTCTGCAATTTGTATAAAATAAAATAAAAATGATGAACACATACATACACTTAGTCTATAAAGTTAAAAAAAATACCAATTACAAATAAAAAATACCCAAAACTTCCAGTTAAATGTTGTTTAGGTTCATAAATGATATGAAACATATAGTCAATACAAATCTCTCATCTTTATTCTTCACCAGCACATGTAACGTTAACATAAAAAGTAAAATTAAACATTAAAAAGTAATTCTGTCATACCGAGTTCAAAACACAGTCAAAAGGGTGATGGTAATATTTAAACATGGCAGTTTGTTCATGTTTTAGGTTGCTGAAAGAATAATTTCCTCCTTTGTTTTTTTTTTTCAGGATTCTCCTTTGTTTTTTCGTGCTTCTCGCGTTTGTATTTGAAAGGAAAGCAATTTAATCAGAAGCACTTTAATAATTACGCACACATCATTAGCATCAGCTCAAGTTTGCTATGTCAATATAGACGTGTGGTGAGTGATCGCAAGCCATCTCGAGAAAGTGAAACCGCTCACGATTTAGATGGCCATGTTAACAACAACGACAGGTTTATCTTCTTGGCTTTCTGGCTGTTCATCAAATGAAGTTTTCTTGTGCTAGGTATCCTTTTGAAAGGGTACTTAAAAAGTAGTACGGTACGGTCCGCTTTTTGGTACCTTTTGACAGTGGAAACTGCCATTTCCAACTTAGTTGTAAGTAAACCATGCCAACTTCTACTAGATCTTAGGAGCAGTGATAGTCTTCACAATTTTAAATCACATCTAAAAACCCATCTTTTTAAGCAGGCTTTTACTTAACAATTTTTCTATCATGTTTTTATTATGTTCTTTTATATTCGCTATTGTGTTTTAACTTGTTTGGTCAATGATTGTTTTTAGTAATGTTTAATTTGTTTTGCATGTCTGCTGATGCTTATTGTAAGGCGACCTTGGGTGTCTAGAAAGGCGCCATTTACAAATAAAATGAATTACTATTATTATTATTATTATAAAAGCATATCGACGTGTACCATACCATACCACTCAGTGGAAACCGGCCAATTGGAGGTCATCCAGGCTGCAGCAATGCCTTCATAGGTTCAGGTGTGTCTAATTGGAGTTGGAGCTAAAATGTGCAGAACGCCAGCCTTCCAGGACTGTGTTTGGGCACCCTTGGTATAATGGGTGAAGTATGGTGGTCCGGGAATCGAACTCTAGTAGCCACGAGTAGGATTGTGTTGAATGTCAGTGTGCTAATTAACCGCAAGGCTACTGGCACCAATGATTTAATTTTTCTTTTAAATAATAAGGTAAGAAATTTTATGAATGCATTGAGACAATCATCACCCTGTTTTTCTGCTTGCTCATAAGTGACATAACATGGGTATTATTCATTCAGTAGTATTTGTGCATTGCACCGAGTGAAAGCAGAGCATGATAAGTCAAGTCGAACTTCGTCATTCCGCTTTACAGAGGAACAAAATGACGTGTCTCGCTGGACAACGGTGCTACATAAATTAATCCTAAAACAAACACAACAAGAGCTATTTTTTTTTTAGAACCTATGTGTAACTTTCATATGTACTTTAAGATATTCAACTATACACATAGGATATATACAGGCTATACAAGTACAAACAAGTAAAACGGGGAAAAGTCTTGATTAAATCCAAACACACAGGGTGGAAACTGACACATGTCAGCTCACCATTTGTGATCAGATCGTCAAAAGAGCATATTAATACCAGATGTGAATAGGGCCGTTATGTCAGCTGTAAACTCTATAAATCTGCTCCGTGTTTATATTAGAGCACTGTTGTTTCATTACAATTCTGACTGTGCATTCAGAAACACTTAACAGCCAATATCTCCTGCAACTTTCTCCTTATTCCCTCACATCGATCCTCAATCTCAGCAAATGAAAACCTGATTTAGAGGAATAATCTGATTTATGAGAACAGAAATGAGCTCTTGTGCAGTACTGCCCTGCTTTGGACATCGTGGTTTATGATGGGAACAATTGAGACCACTTTATTTACAGCTAGACGTTATGAGATTTTATTGACGCCAGATTGAATGATGCATTTCTGGGCTTCTTTCGTCCTGTAGATCACTGCGAGATGCTAAGCGGCTGTCCTGACGATGAACCGATGACCCCGGGTGACGAGGGTTTGGATGCTGCGGTGGATGACAGCCTCCTGGAGACCAGTCCTATCCAGTCTCCTTTGCAGGTGTTCGCCGGTATGGGTGGCTTGGCGCTGATCGCGGAGAGACTTCCAATGCTGTACCCCGATGTCATCCAGCAGGTCAGTATATCTGCAAGCTTGCTCTCTGTGCAAAATTATATTCTACCGCGTAGGTAATTTTATGTAGTTTCACTTCATTTCTGCTTCATAAGCCACTCGTTCGCTGACCGTAACCTGAGGTTAGTCAGCATTTCTGTTCATTTGCGTGTCCTCTGAGCCAGTTCGTCCGGATCGTTCTGTGCAGGTCAGCGCCCCAGTGGTGCCATCCACCACACAGGAGAAACCCAAGGACAGCGACCAGTTCGAGTGGGTCACTATTGAACAATCCGGAGAGCTTGTTTATGAGGCGCCCGAGACTATTGCGGCCGAGCCTCCACCCATCAAATCCTCCGTGCAGACCATGTCCCCCATCCCTGCCCATTCCCTGGCGGCATTCGGCCTGTTCCTGCGATTGCCAGGATATGCAGAGGTTCTGCTGAAGGAGAGGAAGCATGCACAATGTCTACTTAGACTGGTGTTGGGCGTCACGGATGATGGAGAAGGAAGTAAGTACCCCTCAAGTACAAGAAGTACTACTTCTGGAATTTGTTTACACTTTAGAAATCAATATTCTTAGTGAATCCAGAATTTTTGGGGGAGTAGATGCTTATTTTTATATTCAGCCTGCGTTGTTCGCATATCCATTAGCCCTGTTTGTGTCTGTGTGTGTGTGCGTGCTTGAGAGAGAGAGGGGTTATTGATTGAAACAGAGAAGACTGATGTGGAACACTGTTTTTTGATTCCCCCATCAGCATCTCCTGCATATCTGTGCCCGCCATCTACCGTTTAACTCACCGTCTCAGAGACCTTTCAGACTCAGCCCTCATATTAAACAGAATGTCGCTTATTCCTCTCAAAGTATTTATCTTTGAAAAAAAAAGGTTTCTTAGGCTCATTATTTGAGGAAAAACTGTAATCTATTCACCCAAAAATTCAAATGCTCATTACTCAAATACTCAATTGGTTCCATCCCTGCTTTGAGTTTTTTTTTTCTGTTGAACTCAAAGGAAGATATTTTGAAGAATGTTAGAAGCCGGTAACCATTGACATCTATAGTAGGAAAAACAAATACTGTGTTTTGTCGAAATATCTTCTTTTGTTTAACTGAAGTAAGAAAATCAAACAGGTTTGTGATGGTGAAGTGAGGTAAATGATGATAGAATTTTTATTTTTGTGTGAACTATCAATTTAAATGTCAGTACAATTTTACTACTTATTTTGGAGCTCAATCCTTTGATGGAAAAGCTGCGTTTACAGCAGTCACCGCTCTAGACTTCAAAGTGACTTGATACTTCATGAAGTCATTGTATCATGCATTGGCCCTCAAGTTTGTTATTGTTGGTGATGTTGACAACAGTTGTGCTGCTTTGTTTTTTGTAAACCAAAAGGGCACTTGGTGATGTTTTATAAACATTTTAATCATTCCTGAAAGTTTTAACAATTTATCTATTTAACCATCTCTGTTAGAGCTGAGGTGTAAAATCAGTGTAAATGAGGTGTAAAGATCGAGTTTTTGATTTTCAAAATGAACCGCTATTCTCTCTTGATTGATTCTGAGCTTCCGTTTTTAACAGTAGATGCAATGTATGTCTTACAAACAGCTGTACTTTCTTTAAATCCTGTACAAATACTAATTGAACCTAAATTAATCGTTAGTTAGGAAAGTTAGGAAAGCTTTAATCACATAACAAGTGTTCATAGTTGTGTTTACATTCATGGCTTACTTACACTAGGTACAGTTGCTTTGAACCGTGCCGAAGTGTGATTGTCCCCCCTCCACTCTCCCCTGATGGCCTGCACTCGCACTGCATTTTGCCTTCCAGACTTAAGCACGCTTACATCATCAATGCTGCAACTATTCAGTTTAATAGAAAAGAAGCGCTCTTGCTCAGCACAGTGGACATTGCTTCAGTTATATCATTTAGTATTATTTTTAGTTGTTTGGGATGCAGTGACTTGCAGTCAGATATTTTGCCAAACTGATCCACAACAAACTCTCATAAATTATCATAAAGTCACTGTGCTGCAGGTATTAGGAAGTTTGCCGAAGGATTAATAGACTATAAACTCTGACAGTTTGCATTCATTGAAAAGTAAGAATGATTATTAAATCCATATTAAACAGTCCCTTAAAAGTGACGTCACATGTTCAGTTTCAGTCTCAGTCACGCTTTACACTCACACTGCAAGCTTATTATGCCAAAGCCCAACTGAATCATGCTTTGGCATACCTCTTCCAACAGGGCCAGGGCCGGCCAATTCAATCGTACCAGGCCTCCATTCAGAGAACTCACACCTGTCAAACAAACCGGGAAACGCTCCCGGGCATGGTTTGGATAGCCTAGTGCTAGTACACCCTTAAAAGCCAAATTGCATGCAAGTGCTCTTTCTCGTGAGTATTTGAGTGTATAAAGTGTAAGTCCATCATAGAGCACCATCTGCTGGTCAAAACTAAGCTCAGTATTGATTCCAGAGAGGATAGTGAATCGATGCAGAATCAATTTTTCTAATGAGCGTTCATCACAGCTCTAACCTCTGTGCTATTAGTCAGTTGCTTAGCAGTAAGCTAATGTGAAACTACCATTTTAGCATTTACCAAGATACGTGAGCACCTCAAATGAAGGATGCTTTTTGTGTGATTCTTGAGATTAGCTGTTAAATGAGAGGTGCTGACCATGAAGAAGATTTCAGCATTATTTATTAGTGTTTGTTTGACATGTTGCGTCAATCAAAGAGTTAGGAAATAGAGCTGCTGCTCATGTGAAGGGGTCTGAGACTTCATCTTAAACTAATACAATTGCATCAGGCTTTTGGGAAAACCTCTCCCATCTCAACGCAGAGCTTCAGCTGAGAATCAGACTACTCTAATGGCTATTATACATTCACACCCTGCAGGCAGACACACATGCTTCTCTGCATGTCCCCTAAGGGAAACATTGATTGGATTACTACATGGTTGCTTCATCGATTGGTTTAATTGAGCCTGGATTGGCTGCCCAATGTGTATTTCTGTCAGTCTAAACTGTGGATTGGTCAGCTGATCACTTGATGTATTGGTTGATTGGTTAAGTGCGCTATTTAAAAAACAGTTTCCAGGGTTCCCACAGTCATGGGATTTTCTGGAATATCGTGAATTTTGAAATGTCTATTCCAGACATTGAAAGTCAGGGAATTTTATTTTTGTTTTGTCCAAGTCATGGAATCTCAGGCCATTTTTGCTTGTTATTTTAAATTGTACTTCACATTTATTACTGTCTTTTTTTATCATGTTTTGCTTGTTGTTATGGCTAGACTATTTTTTGTCACACTTTATTTTGATGGCCTGTTTGTTACATTGCATCTAATTGCTAACAAATTTACATTAAATTAAAAGTAGACTGTTAAGTTGGGGTTAGGGTTAGTGTATGTTAACATGTACTTGCAAAGTTTTTATAGCCAGTTAAATGTCTGTTGAAGGAGCAGTGTTGGATGTTAAGCAGATAATCTACTAATAATTAAATGGACCATCAAAATACAGTGTTACCCTATTTTTCTTATTTCCCACTTGACAACAGACGACTGCTGTCACCAATCTGTACCTCTTAAAATATTCTCTGCTCAGGGCTCAACCAGTCCCTTCTAGATTTTGTGCAAAGTGTCATGATTTTTTGTGCCTAAAATCACTGATTTTGAGGGTGATTTTATCAGAATTTGTGACAATATTAACATTTTTTCTTTTATTATTTTCCTCTAAAAATACACAAAATTAGACATTTGTTCTTCAAGATTAAAATCCCATGATATAATTCAAAAGCATAAATAAATGGAGTATTTTTTTACTGTGTGGTATGATATCCATGTCATAAAAATTCATCTTTTTATTCAAATCAAGTTTTTATATAGCACTTTTCTCCAATTATATTATAATCAAGTTCAGAAAAGTTAAGCTTATTAGTTACCTTAATGTTATTAGTTACTAATAACTTTAACTAATTAACTAGTAACTACTAGCTTTTAACAGTTAATGTTATTGTAAGCAAAGTTAATCTGCAGTTACAGTACATAGTCAGTGAAACCAAACTAAACTCTTTTTAGGAAACGAAAAGTCAGTGTTTTTGACATTTTTCTTAGAGCAGGAACCCTTGCTTTTTCTTGCTCTAAATGTTAAAGACGTTCTCATCTAGAAAGACAATTTCTCATTCTATTCATCTGTCATTCTTCCTCAAGGTCACATCCTACAGTCTCCCTCTGCTAACGTTCTACCCACGTTGCCCTTCCACGTGCTCCGCTCCTTGTTCAGCTCCACTCCCCTCACCACGGATGATGGGCTGCTGCTGAGACGCATGGCACTGGAGATCGGTGCCATCCACCTCATCCTGGCCTGCCTGTCTGCCCTCAGCCATCATGCTCCCAGAGTGCCCAGCGGCAGTGCCAACTCCAGTGAGGTCAGTGTTAACCCGCACGCTGTTTACCTGTCATTCAGCCCACAAAAATCAGCATGTTCGTGACAGCAATGAAAACATTAGAATGTGAACTCGCATGTTAAAACATTCAGTGTTTAGCAAACCAAATAATGACTGAATTCACAGAGTTTGGAGAAGTTTGGAAGGAAAATTATTTGCATATATTTTAAAATGCATTCCTGTGTTGGCAGAGCTGAATTTTTAGCAGCCATTACTAAAAGGAAACAAACAGTAACATACTGTATCTTGTTATCTTGTATTCAGAGCGAGTTGTCTGTTATTTGGGAAAATGATCATGTAAAGCTAAATTATTTTATAAAGACTGACCTGAGTAGTTTGCAGAGTTATTAAAAGAGCATTACAGATGGTGTGAAATGAGATCACTCCACTAGTTAGTCTTGTTATCTAATGGGGTATATGCACATAGTCAGCCAGCCCAACAACTTCCGATGAACTGTCTTCCCATTACAAAACCGCCCCATTTAAGATCTGTTTTCTTTAAAAATAAAAGTGATCTTCACTGCCTGAAGATCGATATATACGATATAAATAGGGTCTCAGAATGGACAAGAAGCATTGAATGCCAATTTTCGCTGCTTTCATCTCTTTCAAACTTGACTTTTTCCCCTAGTATTTTCAATGGAGTTTCTGCAATAGCCTGCTGCCACTGATGGCACTTGAGTGTACATGGTCTATCATCTCATTTTATGCTTGAACAACTAAATGAATGCTTAAATTTATTTAACTGATTGTATTTTAATTACACTGTGATGTTGATGCTGTAAAAGGAACATTATAAAATTTAAAATTGTCACATTAACCTTTCACCGAACATTTTTCATTGGCTGAAAAACATCAGATGTGCATCTGTTGAGACAATCACATGACTATATTCAGGTTTTTAATGTGATATCTTTAAATGCTCATAAAATAGGTGAATGAAAACATAGCTAATGTTAAAAACTGTTTCAGTAGTGCTTTAGAATAATGGTCCATTAGTTAACGTGTTTACTAACATTAACCAAGTATGAATAATCTTGTAAACCATTTATAAATCATAGTTTAACTTCCACTAATGCATTATTCAAATCTAAAATTGTGTGCTTGTTACCTTTAGTTAATGCACAGTGAGTTAACATGATCTAATGTTATTTATCTTAACTAACACTAACAAACAAAAATAAATACAGTGATAAATGTATTACTAATAGTTTGTTCATGTTTTGAACTTGCTTGCATGGTTCGGGACCTGTAGAGCGAAGGATATGCTCTTAAGTGTCTGGACTTTCAGCAGTGAATATTAAATCCCACTGAACTGAACTTGATTTCTGAAAACTGGACTGACACTGTTTCAATTTACTATAATCTTCTATGTGAAGCTGCTTTGACACATTGTAAAAACACTGTAGAAATAAAGGTGAATTTAATTAAATTGAATGTTAGTAATACATTAGGTAACTTTATTTTGATGGTCCATTTGAGTATTAGTAGACTGTCTGCTTAATATCTGTTGATACTGCTGGTAAACAGATATTTAACTGACTATAAGAAACTTGTACATGTCAATCTACACTAACCTTAACCTAAACCCTAACCCCAACCTAACAGTCTACTTATAATCTAATGAGAATTAATTGGCATGTAGATACAATGCAACTTAAATTCAACAAACAGGCCATCAAAATAAAGTGTGACCATACGTTAACTAATGGACCATTATTTAAAAATGTTACCAGTTTTTTCATTCATTTTGATGAGTAAAAATATCAGATGAGCATAATAAAGTAAAAAGCATTTGTGACTAGGGATGAGGAATGAGATTAACAAATCTCATTATTAACCACAATTTAATTTGACACAGTTAATTAATCGTAAAGACCACAATTAAACAAAGTTATGCCAACTGTGCACTAGTTTGAAGTTTCAAGTTGTACACAAAGGCTAATTATCACACGCACTGGATTAACTATGGCTGAGGCTATCAACTTGGGGCCGTTCACACATTGTGTCTTTTGCTTTTGTTAGTTTTTAGTATTATTTTGTGCTGTATTAATTGTTTACGGAGCAGCAATAAATAACACTTTAAAATATAAGGAGTTTTCATGTGATTTACTAAACTAGTAGTGTTTTAAAATTAATGAATGTAATCGTAATCATAAAAAACGTGAAAACTGTTATTATTCCCCAGACTTTAATCGTACAACCAAAATCTATAATCTTTGCATCCCTATTTGGAACATACAGTTGAAGTCAGAATTATTAACCTTCCTATTTATTTTTTTCCCCCAATTTCTGTTTAAAAGACATTTTTTTCAACACATGTCTAAACATAATAGCTTTAATAACTCATTTCTAATAACTGATTTATTTTATCTTTGCCATGATGACAGTAAATAATATTTGACTAGATTTTTCAAGACATTCTGTACAACTTAAAGTGACATTTAAAGGCTTAACTAGGTTAATCAGGGTAACTAGGCAGGTTAGGGTAATTAAGCAAGTTATCGTATAACGATGGTTTGTTCTGTAGACTATCAAAAAAAAAAAATAGCTTATAGGGTCTAATAGTTTTGACCTTTAAATGTTTTTTTAAAAAAATAAATACTGCTTTTATCTAGCCAAAATAAAACAAATAAGATTTTCTCCACAAGAAAAAATATTATCAGACACGCTGTGAAAGTTTCCTTGCTGTTAAACATTATTTGGGAAATTTTAAAAAAGCAAAAAAATCAAAGGGAGGCTAATAATTCTGACTTCAGCTGTATATATTTGAAAAAATCCATACTATTTGAGGATATAAGTGGTGCCTTTCAACAACAACAACAAAAGAATCATACTGACCTCAAACATTTGAACGTTATTTGTTTTTGATCTTTCCCATGCACAGTATCTACAAAATTGGGAGTGGAAACTTTTAAGTATTGAGCAAAAGCAGCAGACTGCACTGGAGTCATTACTTGCATTGCTTCTCCCTTTCAACTACATGAGAGAAATGGCAATGCCTGATTTGTGAATGAGTTTTCCTTTTGAGTTAAATCTTTTCGTTGAGTCGGTTCGTCGAGTTCACAGATCTGTTCTGAATAATTCATCGACAATCTGACAGATCTGGTTGAATGATTCAGAGTTAAATTAAAAGAAGTAGACTTCAGGGAAAACTAAAATGATTAAAAAAATGGTCTGGAAGCCTTTTAGCAGCCGTGTTCAGGTAATTTGCGAGCATGAGAAGCAAAAGACACTCCTCTAAAGACCTTAATGGAGATGTTTTGGTCTCTCAGACTGAAACATGTCATTTTATTAATGACTGTGGTAGCCGGTCTTTACAGACTGCTGAAGGGCTCTTTATTCAGAGCCCTTGACTTAATGAGGAGAGGTGTGTGTGTGTGAGAGAGAGAACAAGCGCTCATTCAGGTGTAGTGTAGTACCATTAAAAGAGAATGTATAGTGAAGATTCGGACAGCTCTTTTAGTCATTACGTGATTATGAGGAGCTTCACTCGACTGAAATGAAAGGACAACTACGGCACAATCATAATGAGAAAATAATGAAAAAAACAGCCATCATCATCATCAGACTCCCAATACCAAAGCAAATGACTTTTATAAAAATCAATATTCGGCTCTCACAGACTGGTTTTATTAAAATCAATTTTTAAAATTACAATCTTTAAAGAAAAAAAGTGCATAAATGATCAGTGCAGAGCGGTACTATATGTCTGTGTGTGTGTTTGTGTGGATTTATAGTTTGGCGAGAGGTGGGTTCAGGGCTGAGCATTTGAATGGTGGCCAGTGGCCTGTCAGAATCATAATGGGTGTCCTTGGGGCGGCAGAAGTATTGGCAGAGCAAATATTAAACCCGCTCGCTCTCTGCTGAAGAAGAGCATTGCGGTCAACGTGCATTTATTCCACTCTCTTGTTTATTTCACCCATTTGTCCCTCTTATGATTTTAGCAAAACCTTAAAAATGGAATAAATATTCGGAAATAACATTTTCTAATATCAGGGTATCTGTGGGGGGAAAGTGTTTAAAAAGTTGCTAAATCCAAATTTCCTTTAGAGAAATGTGACCCTTTGTGAGCTGTTGGGGATGTTTTCATCCACTCTCGGGTGATTTTAAGTCTTAATTTGGACACAACGTTCTCTGAGTTTCAGCAAATAGAATGATTCTTGGTGACATCTTATTTTGGCACACATTTTAGGAAACTGCTTTGAAATGAATGTATACACTCTGGGCGAATAATTCTATTATTTAAATAGTCTTAAAGACTTAAAGATAATGAACCACCAACTTATTTAGCATATGTTTTACACAGTGCATGTCCTTCCAGTTGCAACCCATCACTGGGAAACAGCCATACACTCTCATTCACACACACACATACACTACGGACAATTTTTGCTTACCCAGTTTCCCTATACCACAAGTTTTTGGACTGTGGGGGAAACCGGAGCACCTGGAAGAAATCCACGCAAACTCTGGGAGAACATGCTAACTCCACACAGAATTGCCAACTGCTCCAGCCGGGGCTGGAACCAGCGACCTTCTTGCTGTGAGGCGATTTTGCTGCCACCGTTATGCCCATTTCTATTCAGTATATGAATAATGTTTTAGTTGTGAATAGTGTTTTAGTTTATCATCAGTTTCTTACAATCAATATTTAGTAAATATACTGTAAGTTGAAATGTCGCCAATGTTACCGGTCGAAACCTAGATTGGTTATGAGGTCTAAAAATGTATAGAAAGAGTCTTGAAAGTTCTTAAAAGGTATTGAATTTCATTCTCTGATTTCTCTGGTGCCCTGAATTAAGTTTTAATTTACTCTTGCGATTGCCAAAGTAAAGTATAGACTGTGGAGCGACAGCTGGTTTTTGAAAATTCATATTTGTCAGCTGATGCGCAGCTACTGACCTCATTGTTTCTCCTCATAATGTTGTGACATGCTGTCAGTCTTTAAAGCAAGCAGTAAATTTCAGCAGGATGTCACGTCTGGAACGATTAACATCAAACGGCAAAGTGAGAAAGAGGTGTGCGTGGAAGAACACCACTAGGAAACTTGTCTCTCATTTGGAGAGGGATCTGGCTGCAGACTTGGTGCAGATGCAATCTGAGCTGCATGCAATGCTTTTTAATAGACTCGCCTAACCTCGCCCCTACCCCTACCCCTCACAGTGATGTCACTAGGATGTCACTTCATCAAGGATGCTTCGTATTGTTCAAAAGTGACAGTAAAGGCACATCTGTGTTCATCTTTAAAATAAATGCTCTAATATTCTATTTTTAAATGAATTTTTGCTGTTTTTTAGCAATGGCTGATGAAAATTCAGATTTAAAAAGAAATTCACAGTAATAGATTACAATAAAAAGTGTTTTGAATTCATAGTAGAGTTAAAAAATATTATTGTTTGTATTATTTTTTATCTTAAACTTACTAAAATACTACATACATATGGGAAGATGTTTCCCTCATCTACTTGTGGTCCGTTTGAAACACCTTGATCTTAGTACTGCGTGTGAACAGCGTCCACATTGCCAAATCTACAACTGAGTTTGTGTTTGTGCTGCAGCCGCAGGTCTCCAGTGGGCATGTTGGTGGTACCACAGAGGAACAGCAGCTGTATTGGGCCAAAGGAACAGGCTTTGGGACTGGCTCAACAGCATCAGGCTGGGATGTAGAGCAGGCTCTGACCAAACAACGCCTGGAGGAAGAGCACGTCACCTGCCTCTTACAGGTGTGTGTCTGTTAAAATATATCAATTAAGGTTAAAATTTGCACATGCTTGAATGTGTGATGATATGTTCTGTGTCAGGTTTTGGCGAGCTATATCAACCCATCAGGCTGCGTGGGATCTGGTGAGACCCTCACAGGAGAGGTCAGAGGTCACAGTAGCTCACTGCTGCCATCTGTCCTGCAGGAACTGCTCAGCCAGTCCTGTCTGATCCCTGCCATGTCTTCATACTTGCGCAATGACTCAGGTAAGACACGTGTCACATGTGAAATGTATTCAGTGCTTTACTTCTTGCAGTACTGCACTTACAAGGTGGCTTAGGAAGATTTCTACATGGCGCTTTGAATTTGTGGTTTTGTCTTTGGAGATGTGTGTTTTTTCATCTCTGGTTTGTAGCTATGTCTGTGCAATGTTAGCATCATGGTGTTATGTGTGTTAGTGTTATTATTATTATGAAGAACCCTTTTCTAGTTTTAACTTTGTATCTAAAGTTTGTATCTCAGTTAATATGAACTCATAAAACTCAGTACTTCCACAAACACTGCTTTGTTGGTTTAGGGAGCCAGACATTGGTGTGTGTCTGTTGTGCATTCAATGTGTGTGTGTGTGTGTGTGTGTGTACACACTGTGAGTGTTTATTTCTCTCCGGCTTAATTAAATAAGCGCAGATAAAACGATGAGTGTAGTAATTAGCTCTAGATATCAGCTGGAGGTTTCAACCCTACATTGGCATGGTGTGTGTGTGTGACTCAAATCAAGAACACACACACACATGCTTGCTCTCTAAGCAGACACAGCCAGCAGGGGGAGCAGCAGTTGGTCAATCCCTTGAACAACAGAGCCAATAAAAGCTTGAGCGAGAAAGAGACTGCACACACACACACACACAGTGTTTAAGAGTGTGTGTTTTGTGCCCTGAGATCCTTAGCTGTCTCTGTGGCAGTGAAACAGGAAATGAGTGTCTCGGATCACCCCTGCTGTAAAAACGCCCCATCCACCTGATAAACGGGAAAGTGAAGAGATGGACTACTGCTTCCAAAAAGCATTAAGAAACAGCCAAGGGGCAAATAACAAAGAGTACAAGATTACAGTATAGAGCTCTTTGTGTATATGGACAGCCACGAGCACACTTATTTTCAGTGAGGAAGTGAGGTCGGTTCTGGCTCACTCAGGATTCACCAGTCAGTCCAAACTCAAGTTTTCTTTTCCTCCCTATCCGCTCTGTTAATTTAATGTTTTATCTCAAATATTATTATGCTCCTTCCTTTCTGTTTCTCTGGAGAGGTCGTCAAACAACCTCCTCCTCTTCTGCATATTTTTGCATAAAGTTCTGATGACAATACTGTAGATAAATGTCACAAGATACATTTTTTTGTAGTAAAAAGATCAAGAATTATGATTTGAGGATTGTAATTGGAGAATAGGACCATATTATAACAATTGTTTGGTGATAGTTGTATTTTGATTTAAAGAATGTTGTAACTGCGATCAATGTTTAAAATTTGATTAATATGTTAAAAGTAAATAGTTGTAATTGTTTAAGAAAATACAAAAAAGGGTTTGCTAACACTTTATTTTGATGGTCAGTTTGAGTATTTGTATACTGCTTAATATCTGTTGATACTGCTGATTAACAGACATTTAACTGACTATAAGAAACTTTGCAAGTATATGTCAACTTACACTAACCCCAGCCTTTCCCCCAACCTAACAGTCTACTTATATTCTAATGAGAAGTAGTTGGAATGTAGATGCAATGTAACTTAAATTCAACAAACAATCCATCAAAATAAGGTGTGACCAAGGTTTTACAGCGATCTGAAGTAAGAAGGTAGTCAGATTTACTGTGTCCACTATGCATGTACGTCTTTTCCTGGAGGACCACAGTTTTGCTCCCACCCTGATCAAACAGCTGATTTAACAAATCAAGGTGTTTAAGACTACTAGAGTCTATTAAGTGGGCGTGAGTTGGAGGTGGTTGGAAAAAAGCTGTGCAGAGCTGTGGCCCTCCAGGAATTGAGTTTGAGAGCACTGATGTAAAGGCAATAGTGAAATGTACACTGTAAAAAAGGCTGGATTCTGCACAGTCCGTTTGTGTTAGGATAACATGAAGTTATTAGGTTAGCTTGTTTGTTTTTACACATTTAAGTGGATTGATCAAAAAACGATTACGTTATCCCAGAAAAAAAACTTAAGAATTGTCTTGTTTCAACTCGTATAAGTAGTTTGAACTAGCAGCAAAAAGTCATTTATTGAGTGTAAAGTAGGGTAAAGTACTTGTGTCATATCAGTTCTGCAGCAGTTTTTAATATTTTCGAACTCACAGTATTGTTAATTTTTATTACCATTGCTGTGTTACAAAAAATGTAATTATCACAGTAGTCTTGGGATAAATGTTTAGTTGGTGTTTGGGGCACATTTTATCCACAGATTAATTGTATTATTTTTTTTTAATTGATGTTGACAATTAATTGATGATTTAATTGATGAAACAGAACTACATTTGGCCTTTACATACTGTTTCATGACCACACAAAAGTAAAGTCATCACTCCAATGCTGCATTACAATTCACATACTTATACTACGCCCTAAAAGTATGTACTTTTTTGTGAAGGAAAATATATGTATATGCTTTTGAGTGTGTAACAAAGTATGCAAGCTTTGGGACATACTACTACCTCGTTAACAGATCGATATGTTGCTTAGTTACGAGCCCTGTCAACCATCCACATTTCTTTCATATGTAATTACCTCCCTTACTGTAGATTCAGCAGCAGGTTAATCTCCCATTCACGAGTCTTTCATGCAGAGAAATCTTCTCAGGTTTTTGGATAATTATGCATTCAGACGTTATTATCCAAGCATATCTTGATATAAGTTCACGTTGTTGTTTCAAATAAAATATTAGACGGAAGGCGCAATTTAAATATTTTCTAGTAGGCTAGATAATAATTAGCAATCATACAAACAACTTTACTAAAGCCTCTCTACTTGAGGCTTTGCACATCCACCATGTTTGTAGTTTATATACGCTTTTCACCCATATATGTAGTTCGGATCAAATTCAAGTCCAACACACAATGTACTGTGGGCAATATCAGCGGTTAGAGCAGGGGTGTTCAAACATAGTCCTGGAGGGCCGGTGTCCTGCACAGTTTAGCTCCAACTTCATTAATTAGTTGGGGTTGGAGCTAAACTCTCCAGGACACCGGCCCTCCAGGACTGAGTTTGGACACTCCTGTGTTAGAGTATGGATGCTTCTACACTTCTAATATTTACTAGAAATACTGAACCACCTGGGAACTTTTGGCATACTATTTTCTACATACTATGATTTGGCACATACTAATTCTATTTAGTTCAAATGAATAATTGGCCTTTCTTTTTTATTGTCTTCTGAAACTTGGTTAGACAGTTGCATGCAAAAAATACTGCAGCCACCTTCCTGCATATTTCAGTTGCTACCCATATCAAACACACCTGAACCAATTAATTAGGACCTGAACACCCATGATAATTACAGGCAGGTGTGTTTGATATGGGTTGCAACTGAAATCTGCAGGAAGGTGGCTCTCCAGGAACAGGGTTGGCCACCCCTGGTCTATATGCTTCCCTAGTATGTATCTATTCATTCAGAATACTCGTTAGCTTGCTGAGAAACAAAACAAGAGAATAATACCCCTCACACCGCTGGTATTATCCGTTTGTGTACAAAAGATTAAGCGTTTGTGTTAATGCAGATCTGTATGGCATGCGTCTCCTCTTCAACGTGGCGTTTATTCCCGTTTACTTTATAGTCCCCTGAAAGCTGTTTTCATTACAGGGATATCACACTCGCCTACACACGGCACCCCTGACATATGCTGTAAGGCTTGTGTAATTGCAGCGTGTGTTTGTGTGAAACACTGCTGACGTGGTGCAGTCATTAAGTAGGGCAGGTTTTTGAGGTGCTAGAGTCTTTTCCCAGTGTGTAAACAGAAATTATCACAGTTCTCTCGTTCCCCTCTTCTCCCACCCCCTCAATATGGCTCCTTCATGTCCTCCAACCCTATATTTATATCTGCTCTCTCTTGCTTTATTTAAACATTTGGTGGTCTCCCCAAAAAGGCATTCAAGGCATCATTGATGTTCTTTTCATGTAAAGATTTTTGAAAAGGGTGAGCAGCCCAATTAAACAACCTTATTTCAGGTAAATTCACAATGCTTTTATTGAAAAAAAGGTTGTTGTTGGCAAGAGAAATGTTAATCAGTATTTTTAGTGGCATGTTTTTATGCTTCTTAATGTTTCACTCTGTTTGCTTTACAATTTTCATATTTCAAATTGTGTTGTGTTTCAAGTAGTACCGTGATACTACAGCTACAAAATACTGATGGTGCCACTGTAGTTTGTAAACGGTAGTATCATCATTAATGGTTCTACAATAGTTAATGCTGCATGTGGAATTGTTACTAAATCAAACAGCAAATGTCAAATAATACAAATAATACAATTTAGTAGTTAATAGTAAAATATAAGCATTATAAGATATAAAATGTAATATTTCTGACAGCTTTATTTCATAGATTTGGATTACAAATTACAGTATCGGAATGCTAGTTGGTATCATGATACTTCAGCTGCTATAGTATTGTGACATTTATAGTATCGTGACAACCCTAGTTTCAAGTCGGAATGCAAATGATTGATTGACAGTCAATTAAATTTTAGCCGTCCTAATTAATACACCTTATTGATGATCGATAAAGCATGGAGATCACTAGTAAAGGTCTTCTGTACGCTGCTTGATGCACGTACATGACTGTACATGTTATATAGTCAGGTCTGTTCAGTTTATGTTTACTTATTGAGGTGGTCTCTTAACATTACGTTTAGGGGGTGCATAAAACCCAGTTGTGTGGAGGAAAAAAACACGCTGTTCCCAGCTTGAACAGAGCAAAAGCTGTAGCAAGTGAAAGCCTTTTGGTCGCTCGTCCCAGCTCCCTTAGCTCAAATACCAGATTTAAACCCCTTAAAAGGCAGTGCCTCCCATACAATGTCAGGCAGTGTTGGACCGGGATGATATAAATTGGGGAACAAAGCACAACAAACAATCATTCATTTAAATTCATGAAGAAATTCTTTGAGACCAACCAACGATTTTTCTAGATAAGACCCTTATGCCTCTACTGGGATGATGCCGTTTGAAGCTGCATTGAACCTGCTGTTTGGACCTTTAACCCTTCATCCTTTTCTAATATTGATGCACCAGTTGTACATCTGCAAAACTGATGGTGCTATTGTTTAGCAGACATTAAATTATTCTATAGTGAATTCACCGTATTTCCCAACCCTGCTCCTGTAGCCACACCAACAGTACATATTTTTGGATGTCACCCTTATTTGACCTGTTAACTTCAGGTTTTGGAGTCTTCTGTTATGTTCTGACGAGTTGATTTGGGTCTGTTTGATTAGGGAAAGGTTGGAAATGTGTACTGTTGGTGTTCCTTCAGAAACAGAGTTGGAAAACGCTGATCTATCAATCCAAGTCTTTAATTTACAGTAAAAGTGTTTTCCTTTGGTTAGGTTGCTTGCATTTTTTTGTGTATTTGCACATTCTATTGTGCTGGTGACAATGTACCAGTAAAGAAGACATGTCTTGCATTAATAAGGTTAACAAATTAGTGCCTGATTTATCAGGGGTCGCTACAGTGGAATGAACCAGCAATTACTCTAGCATATGTTTTATGCTGTGCATGCCCTCCCAGATGCAGATTAATCAATTAATTGATGGTTAATTTAAATCAGTGTTTCTCAACCACGTTCCTGGGGGACCACCAGCACGGCATGTTTTGGATGTCTTCTTTGTCACACCAGTCACAGGTCTTTCAGTCTCTGCTAATGAGCTGATGATCTGAATCAGGTGTGTTTGGTTGAGGAGACCTGGAAAATGTGCAGAGCTGGTGGTCCTCTAGGAATGTGGTTGAGAAACGCTGATTTAAATGATGGTTGTTGGACATTTCTGATCTCAAGTTCATCATAGTAGCCTATGCATTTCAGATAATTTACTTACGAAGCTTCATAATGGTTAGGAAAAAAGCAGTTCACTAGTTTTAGAACAGAATTCCTGTACAAAGTGCCAAAGGTAATGTGTTGTTATTAGTGTGTGTGCGCGTATTAATGTATTGGCCTGTGAAGAGCAGAGATGTGAATAAAGCTGTCGTGATTCATATGTCTTTGACCAATGTGTCACATGTAACATCACGTGGGCGGCTTGCACAGGGTTGTTAACCCCAGGACACACACATCCCCATGCATTACCCCTACAGGCTATATCTGAACTGAATCATAAGTTCCTTATTCATACGTGCGTGTCAGTAGGCCATGTCCCTCAAAGTGCTGGAAGTGCTTCATTTATAATGTTCTGAAGTTTGGTCAAGATCTAAGAAATGGCAAATGTGGGAAATACTGGGCAACTGTTGAAGGTGTAGTGGGTTGAATTTAATCTAAGAGAGGGTTTACACTGATTCTGGAGCCAGTACAGTAGGTTTACTCTTCTATTAAGTATGTTTACATGCACGTTAATAATTAAGCAATGGCAGTTTGTTTTTAAAATAGTTTGCTACAGCCTTTATATCTCAAAGTATATATGACCAAATACTCAATTGAATGTTTGAAACAAGTCAACATGTCATGGTTCAAAAAGGCTTTTGGTGTTCCTACTGAACCTAAAGTCACATTATATAAGTCAGAATTTCCAAACAATGATTTGATGTCAGTCAGATATATTTAATTTTCCCTTCAAAAAGACTAGATGTTGTTTGATTCAATTTAAATTAAACCTTTAAAATGCATATACAAGTTCTTAATAAGCTATGAACTAGTTTTGAGGGTTTACACTGATCTGAGAGTGGGTTGTAAAGTGTTCACACTGATCTGAGTGGAGGTTGAGAGATTGAGGCTGGTTTGAGAGCTGGTTTACACAGAGCCGTTGTGGTGGGGATTTGTATTTGATGATAAGCCCTGCAGGTACATGCTGATTTACAGGGTAGGCCTTTATTACAGCAGTGCCCTGTGGCTTTGGAATTTATTGAGGGACCTGAGACTAAGCGCAAAGCCCTGCTAACATTTCTGCAGGCAGATTTTTCTGAGCACACTTCAGTCTGACGTATTGCAACACACTTGGGTAGAGGGCAAACAGTGTTGCTATGTGTTCCTTGCAAAGATCTGCCACAAAAGCTCATGCTCATTTCATGCATGTTTAAATTGGTATGTGTGTGACAGTCGTGGGCTCTTTAGGGCACGTTTTGGTGCCTCATTCTCATTCATGAAGCTCCCATCAGCCATTTCTACCTCTGTCTATCACATGTGACAGGAAACTGACCTCTGCATTCTCAGAGGGTTTAAAAACTCCTCCATCACCACTGGTACAGACAGATTAAAATAGAGAAGCAAAATCATCTCTACCTCAGCTACCACATCCTCTGTTTTTCCCACTCTAGTTTTTTGTAACTGTAAACTGCTTGTCTTTATTGTGCACTGAACTCTACTAGTATTCAAAAACCACCCAAATGCATGACTCACACTCATAGATGTGCAGAACAGCACATACAAGCTTGCTCTTCTTCAAACAGGAGCATTTGATACGGCTAAAACATGCACATCATTCACGAGCTCCTGATCCATAGAATATTATTTTATTGATCAGATTATCTATGGCACAGTACATCTAGTATGTAATCATGTATCAATACAAAAGCATTTTCCTTTGCACAGAAACAACGTGTCTGACACTGCACTCAAATCAGAGAGAAAACACACACACACGCACACTCATTATTTGTCTGTTTATCCTCCCTGCTGTCAGAAAGGAGGAACTGTAGTGAAAAAGTGTCCAAATATCTGCGAACTGCCTGTTCCCATAAGGTCCAGAATTTGAAAACTGCAGATGGGTTCCAGAGTCTATCATTCTTCTCTGTTAATTCTCTCTTAATAGAAAAATATGTCATACTTCCCGTTTTTCCATTTTATTGCAGATTTTTTTTTTCAATTGGTGGGCAAATACTAAAGGAGATGTTCTGTTGCCCTGTGACGTTCTTGTTTGTCCAGTAGGGTCTTTCCCTATGTGCATTCTTATAATCACAGCCAGGCAGTGCTCGATGTTATTTCAGTTGCTGGGGAAACATACTGTCCTTTGGCTGGTGACCACATCCTGCAAGGATGCAAATCAGGTGTATCCATGATTCGTTCTCTTTATGTCCAGAGATCTGTTTTGAACTGACATCCATTGCGTTTGTGTATATCCGAATAGGTCAGAGGTCAAAGAGTAAGCGTCACTGTCTCTGACTGATGCTGCCCAGTGTCATCTTCCACCATCTTCTCTGTAAGACATCAACCCTGCTGTCATATCTTCGTCGGACCCCACCCCTCACCTCATCCACGTGTGGATCCTCCTCACAGAGTTGTGTAGATGTAAACAAACACAATGACGAAGAGGTTCAAGAAGGTGCCTATGATCCCCAGAAGGGCCAATATGGACTCCTCTCGCTCCTCTTTACCCTCTTGCGCCCGAACCTCCTCTATACTGACAGTGGTCGTCCCCATTCTGACCCCCCCACCTCTGTCTCCAGGGTGCTTATCTGTGGAGAAACAGGAGAGCAGCATGAGATGATATTTAATCAACAAGGAGTGGAAGCTTCTGTGGTTCCATCCAACACTTATGTTCTCAGATGGCCACCAGTAGTGCTCATCCAGAGGCCAGACCAAACACTCAGTGAAGCAACTCCGAGGGTGAGATTTCCCTCTACACTGATTGCCCAGCTGCGAGTATGGCGTAATGAACACAAAAGAGGATGTCTCCCCCTCACCTCAGTGATGGATTTCCCCCTCAGAAAATGATATTTCCCTGCGGAGCTGCTACAACAAGGCGACTCTTGGCAGCTGAGATGATTTACTGTCCATTTAAGCCATCTCACTTGCTGTTTGCCTCTGCCATGCACACTAAATGATTTCTCTTTTCTCATCCCGTCCTTCCTTAGCTTACGGTATAGCTTGGTACCATGTTCATTGGAGCACATGTGGAAGTGTCTGCTTCCAGATACTAGAACATTCATCTCAATGAACATCATTAAACCCTACAACTCAGCAATGTGGACAACAAGCCTTGTAGACAGTCTGACACATACAGTGGAGGGAACACTAGACAAAAGCAAGTACAATATGAAAATAGGGAGTCTTACCCTACGGCGTGGGAGATCTGGGGGAAGATCCAGCATGCTGTGGTCTCATCACAGGAGATGCATATCTGGGCTGGCGGCAACATGAGGGCCAGGTGGCCAAACATCCGATATCCCCAAGACCGTAAAGAAGGAAAAAAGAGAAATTGAGAGGTGGAGAGAGAGAGAGAAGGTCTACAACAGCATCTCCTTGAGCCGTGTGCGTTACGCAGACAACAATCTCAGTCCCCAACGTCCCTCCCCTTCGCTCTCCCTCTCTACCTTTCTTTCTCTCTTTCTCTCCCTCTGGCTTTCTCTCGCTGTTTCTGTGTCAGTATTCCAGCCTCCTTACACATCACCAGCCATTCCTTTTGTTCCACGCTCATTCAGATCTTCATTTATTCTTCTTCTCATGGTTGTTTATTTATTTTTTTGTTCTTTGCTTGGACGCCTCACACCTTTCATTCAAGCGGGGCTCGGAGAAATCCGCTCCCTGCTCTCTTCCCCCCTCCCTCTCCCTCGTTCTCCTTTTCCTTTTACCAAAATCCTCCTTAAAAAATCTCCTAGTCTCCCCTCCTTTCTCTCTCTTCCCTCCCTCTTGCTGTCACACTCTCTCGTTCTCTGCTCTGTCACTCTTGTCTATCTGACCCTTTTAGCATGTGAAAGTGAGGCGTCTCAGCATTTGTAGAAAAACTGGCCCCCACCTTCTCTCCTTTCCCTCCTCCGTGATTTCTTTCCCTCCTTTTGCGCTCCGCTTTTTCTGTGGGTGTAGAAGCCCTACAGATGTGCGTGGATGCCTCCGGATGCTCGGGAGATTGGCGATCTGTGGCTGCGAGCTCCCCACCCTGCCGTTCTCTGTCCGTAGCCGATGGCAGTCGTGTGGTTATAGGTCCCGTCTCGGAGCCTGAGAGCGCCGTGCATTGCATAACCAAGCAGAGCGACTGGTAACCGCGGAAACCGAGCGAGGGAGATCGGGAGGGTGGGCGGCGAGGAGGCTCACACGTCAAATGTCTTTATTGCCAAGAACAATGTAGAGCCACAGAGAGATGAGGAGCAGAGAACGATCCAAATTGAGAGTTGTGGAGCAGGGTCCTTTTCTTCTGAGTATTGATGATCCCATTGATCTCACAGGGCTTTTTTTCTACAAAAGACAGTCATATTTGGGAATAATGTTAAGCTATTAAATGCCTGTGTGTGAAAGGACTAATGTGTACATGTGCATGGGTGTCCAACGCATGTATTCTTTCATACTAGAGTTGTACAAATAAGGGTACCTTCTAATCTCTTTACTCAATCTCTTGTATATGTAGAGGCATCCATTGTTGTTGTAGCTAGCCAACATTCTGGGCTGTTCAATTAATGTCGTTTATCTTCGACTACCCTTTTCACCGATTCTTTTTGAAGTTTTGTTCTCATCCAAGAATGTCCGTCACTGAAATTTTTTTCAGCATTTCCAAAAGTTGCATCACTTTTAGATTAAGCTAAACTGGAAAACGCTAAGGCACAGATTTTCTTCACAGATGTATTTATCTTCTAACCTGTAGCCAATGCTCATCTTTTAAACCATTTGCTCACTCTTATAATTTCACACATACCTTTCTTGTAAGCCCTATTTTTAATGAGTTAATAAGGATTTTAAAGGTGCAATAGGTTATTGTCTTCAGAAACTATTTTAATTTGCAGTTTGGAAGTCTTTTCACATCCTGAAAGCAAATCATTAAATCATTAAATTAAATGATGTGGTCTAAATGTATTTATATGTCTTTAATTTTCTGTTCAATTCATGTTTATTTCTATAGCGATTTTACAAAGTAGATTGTGTCAAAGCAGCTTAACATGGAAGTTCTAGTAAATTGAAACTGTCAGTCCAGTTTTCAGTTGAAGTTCAGATTAGTTCAGTGCAGTGTGGGTTACTGAAGAAAAAATCCATTAATGCACAGCTCCACAAATCCCAAACCAAGCAAGCCAGTGGTGACAGTGGCAAGGAACAAACTTCACCATTTGACGAAAGTGAAGGAAATATGAGAGAAACCAGGCTCAGTTGGGCAAGACCATTTCTCCTCTGGCCAAACTTCTTGTGCAGAGCTGCTGCCTATGTGCTTCAGGCTGAAGAATGCTGGACGTCCATCATGGAGAAGCTACAGGTTTGAGTAGGTCACCGGCTAGTATTCATTGTGCCCAGGGGACATATCTTGTGGAAAGTGTAGGACCAAGAAAAATGTGGTCCAAACGTTGCGATAGGTTGTCCTACCTGCCTTTCAAAATATGTAATTGCATACCACTGCCACCTATTTGCGCAGAAAGGATTACATCATTTGCCTGTTCATGGACCAGGTTTAGATAGAGAATGGCTGGCAAATGTCAACAACTTACCTTCTTTCTTTAGTTGTAGTTACTAACTGTACTGCAAAGTTTTCTCTGGTCATGGCTTTAGATGGTGATTTGCAAGGTGGGAAGTAGGCTTTCAGTGCTATCAGGCTAATGTTAGCATTTTCCAAGATCTTCTATTGCACTTTTAATTTTCCAGTTGAAAAAATTAAAACTAATTTAATACCCAAGAAATGTAACTCTACAAAACACATTGTTCATTACATACTTTGTGTTTTATCTTATCACATTGGCCAGTATTTTCACCTATTTAAGCAATAAACAAGTTGAAAACATGGGGAAAATTGGCCAGTTCAGAAAAAAAGGCTGATTCAAGGTAAAATCTATGAGAGTAAGTATTAATATTTTGTTTATCGGTTCTTCTCAGGCACTTTATAAGCATGTTTGATATTTTTGTATCACTTTACAGCAGAGATGTTCAAACTCTGTCATGGAGGTCTGGTGTCCTGCGGATTTTAGCTACAGCATGCCTTAACACACCTGCAGGGATGTTTGTAGAAAGCATAGTAAGAGCTTGATTAGCTAGCCTAGGTGTGTCTCATTGGGATTGGAGGTAAAATCTGCTGGACACCGGACCTCCAGGACCAAGACTGAGAACCTTTGCTTTACAATATAAGACACATAGTTAACATTAATTAATGTAGTTACTAATGTAAACAAACAATGAACAATGTCTGTACATAATGTATATTATAGTTCATCACTTGCTTATGCATTTGTTCTCTGAGCTAACAATGAGCAACTGTTTTTTATTAGCTAACTTCAACAAAGATTTAAAAATAGTGTAATGTATCATTCATTGTTGCAACTAACATCAACGACTTGACTCTTATTGTAGTGTTAGCGATATTTCTAAAGTAAAAAAGCAAAAGACTTATTAAAAATCATATCACTTTTGTATAAAAGACATTTCATAAGTCAGTTTAGAAAAAATGATCTCATTGACATTTAAAATAAAATTTATTCCTGAACTTTTAATCATGAGTCCCTCGCAGTAAATAAATGTCTTTTGAAGTGGCCTTTAATGCTGACAGCTTCGGAGCTGAAATGTGAAGAAATGGCATCTTGTTTTTTAATCCTCGTCTATAACGATCCTGCTCGAAACTCTCACACAGGGCTACCATGAGCACTGCATGTGTCCGCACACTGACTCATCCTGACCCTTGAGGAGTATAATTCTTGTTTCATTCCTCGCCATCAGTGGAAATAAAATTCAAGACTACCTCCCCTCCTCCTCTTCCTCATGTACATCTGACCAGTCCTTGCCCTATGCGTTTTACGATTCTCTGTCGTCCTTATCTAGTCTCTTATCCATTGGTGTGTTAATAAACTATCAACCTCATTGTCCACATTAACATTTTAATGGAAGGGGGCAGAATGGAGGATCTGTATATACTACGTCCCTGCCACATCCAGTCCAATAAAGTCATATATCAGTGTTATGCGCTACATAAATAAGTTGGTTTACTTCTACCAGCCCTCGGACCTAAGTAAAGCCAGATCAATTATTTACTGTTTCAATCTGAAATAATCCTGACCTCTGGGCTGGCGCACAATTACAGGAGGTCAATAAAAGGCTTTACCTTTAGGCATAAGGAGCAAAGCCATTTCAGTCTTAGAGGAAGTAGTTGACTGTAGAATCTGGAAACGACATATAAACTCGTCTATGTTTTCTTCTGTAATGTTCTGTTTGTAAGAGAAATGGATATGTCGGTCATAACTTGAGTTTAGTGATGGTTAATCTTGAAAAGGTGATGGTTAGAAAGGAGAGATTCAACATTTTTGTTCGTTAGCATGATCTTATTCTACATCTCTAATAATACAAAATACTCAAACTAACTTCTAACTTTACAGCTATTAATAAGCAGCAGATTAAGAGCAAAAAATGAGGCAAAAAGTAATAAGAAAACATGAGGCAAAAGTAATAGGTTATGGTTTTCTTAATTGCGAGGATTGTACCTTAAAATGAAGTGCAATTATGTCTGTTCATTTACACTTGTATTTCAACCCAATTTTGCACATCAAAGTTTAGAATTTCTTTTTTTTTTAAGACAAAAGCAGTTGATCTATGTTCTTCTTCTATCTTTCTTTGGTAAAATTCTACCAATTGAACTTATCATCTTCATCTACTCATCAACTACAACTACTCATCTTCATCAACTACAAAGCAGCTATGATTTTATTTTTATTTTGCACAAGTTATTTAATTTATTGGAAATAATTGTACATATTAACATATTGTTATTTGTTTAAATGTATTTTAATCTTTTAATCCGGTTGTCTTGTAATTTCAAAGGTCACATTTAAAAAAAAAATGTGTTCCCACAAGTTTGAAATACACTTGAAACACCTTTTACCCACGGTATATGCTTACCTACATGTGATTTTTTACAATATTTTTATTTATTATGCATAGTTTCTTTTTAATGGGTTGAAGTTTTTTTTTATTAAAAATAAAACATAAATGTCACCAAATATACTTGGGCGGCTTTTATTATACTTCTGTGGCCCACCCAAATGTGGGATGCATCTTGTTGCTTCCTGAAGTGCAGATTTTATTTTATTTTGCTAAATTGATTTAATTTATTGCAACATATTTCTGCAATTTATTTTTAACTTATCCTAATCCTTATATGTAATCTTGTTGTCTTGTTTCTTCCCCCCTCTGGTTGCTTCCCGAGGATTAAGATGGAGTGTATGTGTATGTCCACATTTTTTATTTATTTATTTTTTTGTTATTAGATCTCGTAACCAAAAATGAAATAATATCAGCTTCATCTGAATTTCCTTCAATCATTTCCAGCATAATTATCTGAGGGAAAGAAATCTCTCTCTCTCTCTGTCCCTCACTTTCCTTTGTTCTCTATAACTCTCTCTCTCTTTGATAATTAGTATCGGCACATTTCAGTCACCATAATGTGCGGAAATTATCACACAGGCCAATTAAATGAAATTATCATGTGGGTGAATTCCCTCGGTCTTGGGCTCCCAGCAATGTGCCAGAACATTTAAAACGGCTTAAACTGAAGCCGGCAGGTTAAAAGCTATAAAGAAAGCGGCAGAATTTTTTTTTTTTTTTCATCTACTCTAAGTGGAGACTCTTGTCAATGAGCCGTTGTTTATATTCATTTATTTGTTTGTAATTTTCTCTCTATGGAGCTGTGGATCATATAATCATCAAGCTGACAGCTGTGGGCGATTATGGAGCGAACTCATTACTGTACGTGTGTGTGACCATAATATAACCAACAGATTGTGCTGACTCAAAAATTTGCTTGGTTCTAATATTGATATTCTATTAATATCTGATTCTAATCCTTTAAAATCAGTCCAATGACTTTCATTCGATGAAGTAGTTGGATATGTATACTCTAACTCAGAATTAAATGTGTGACATTGATTTATGGATTAAGCTTTACTCGTAAAATATGAGTTTGTGGTCAGTCTTAGAAGGGGTGGTCCACTATGATATCATCTTTTAAACGTTACTTGATGTGTAATGTAGCTGTGTGAACATAAACAACATCTCTAAATGTAGTACGCTCAAAGTTTAATGCAAAGGGAGACACTGGCTTTTACAGTTAGCAAAGCAAAGCCTACAGTTAATGAAGTTTGGGGACCTCAAAAAAATACATTCGGATTAGTGAGATCACAAACGCTTCAGGTTACGCACATTCACCATGCACATACA